AAGTAGCAGAGACAGAAGTGTATTGGCTGCTCTTGACAGGCCCATTTAGTAAAAATACAGAGCAGGATGACAGAGGGGTGAAGATCACCTCTGCCATTCTTCCTGCCCTGAATTCAAGAATTTACAGGCGTCCTAATAGAATTCTGCCCTAAACTGGTTAAAGAACAGAAAGAAGAGAGTAGAAGTAAATTGACAGAGCAATGGAGGGATATAAACACTGGAATTGCCCCAAATACCTGAACTATGCATTTTAACTTTCATAAATGATCTAGAGTTAGAAATTAGCTCTGAGGTATCTGTATTTGCTGACAGCACCAAATAATTTAAGATAATTTTTTAAAGTAAGTTCAGTGAAGAGCTTCTCCAGGCTGCAAGCAGATGTTAAAATGGCAAAGGCCATTCATCAATATAAGCAAGTGATGCACATGAGAGTAAAAAGGCTAACTGCAGGTAGACTGAAGGCATCTAGCTGACTCTGACTGACCCAGGGAAGGGCTCTGGTGGATGGCTTAATGAAAATATTGACCCAGTATGCAGCTGCCATGAAAGTGTTAAATTCCATGTTAAGAAAAAGAATCAACATAGAACTGGCAACAGCATAATGCCTTCTACAAATGGCTTGACCACTATATATAATTCTGGGCACCACACCTCAAAATTTTATTGCGGAACCAGAGAAGGTGCAGAAAAGGGCCATTGAAATGTTGAAGGAGCTGGGGCAAGTTTCCTATGAGGAAGAATTACAACATTTCAAGATATTTCATTCAGGAAAAGAGGGGATGAGCAAAATTATGCACGGTGTGAAGAAAGTGACATCCAGTACAGATAAAAGCAAGTACATCACACAGCATGTTGTTAAATTATGGAATTTGCTACCGCAAAAATGCAATGGTAGTTACCAATTTGGATGGCTTTAAAAGGGATTGTACAGTTTGCTGTATAATAATGCTACCAAGAGACTAGTTATGATAGCTAGATATTATCCCAGGAATTCAAGGCAGTATGTCTCTGTGTGCCAGATCCTGGAGAACATGAGTGTGAGGGGCTGTTGCCTGTAGCCTGCCCATTACGCATCTGTGTTTTAAAATATATTGTAAGCCATTTGGAGAACTTTGGTTAGCAAAGAGAATAGAAATATGTCAAGTAAAGCATTTTGAGAAAACCAACACTAGGCCTTCTCTCCTGGTCAATGTCAAATTTTTGATTAGCAATTTCTGTGTGAACTCTTAAGAAATGTAGCCATTATAACAAAAATGGGAAACACCAGGCCTTCCAGATTTTGTGGGACTGGAGTTTCAGTCATCCTTCTCCCTTCACTAGTTAGGCCTAATGGAAATTGTAGTCCAGCTAAATTTGGATGAGCATACATTCCTCATTACTGATCTATAATCTTTAATGTTTCTTAAGCTGACATTATTCTTATCAAGGCAACCAAACCAGTGGGATGTGTAACCAAATGCTGCAGTTTGGCATGTTTCCATTCAAGGTGCCATTCAGACAGCTGACTATTCCCCTTTCAAGGATACTGCACTCTGTTTCCCTAACCCGGTTTTCTATTCCATTCCATGTGCATATGCATACCAGGACATGGACCATTTGGTCAACATTCTGAAACAATTAGCATTTTGTGCACGCTTCATAGTCTGAGCCATCATTAGACTTTTTTCTTCTAGGATAGAATATATCTACTGTCTCTCTACTGTTGGCTTATAAGCAATGTGGGACTCTCTAGTTGCTGTAGCCTACAGTTCCCATGATCCCTAACCATTGACTTGTGCTGGCTAGGGCTGATGGTGCTGTTGGCCAAAACATCTGGTAAGGGTACTTGTTGTTCAACCCCAGTATATAAGACACATCTATGGACTTAATAATTATATTCCTTCCTAAGTTTGTATTTCTTCTTCAGAATTCAGGATGAGATGTCATTTTCTTAGTTTTATCTTAGTGACTTGTTTAATCATTAAAAACCTTTGTTATCTTATTATTGGCTCCAAGCTAATTAGAATGTGAGAACTAGGAAAATTTGGAGAAATAAATCAAGATCCAAGGTCCTGTGAAATCTGGGTTTACCTATATGAGATCCACAAGGGCTAGGTGGGAGCTGGGCGATTGGAGAGGAGTAGTGGGCTCCCCTGGCAAAATGGAATTCCTTTGGGCCTTTGATTCTGAGGCAGCATTCAAATTTGCATTGGAGAAATGGCCATTAGACACTTTTTCTGTGTTTCATTGTCAGCATACTAGACTCATGTTAAAGCTTGTTTGGTTCCTCACCTTACAACTTCATCACTCCCAAATAATTGTTGTCATGATGGGCAGTGAGAGTTTTCCCTTTTTTGCTCTGAACTTTCATAGCTTCATCCTATGAAATGCAATTCTATGACATCTGCTTTGCTCCTTCCTGTATGGTAAATTCTCCTCAGTAAGTCTCACCGTGCACGTACGTGTTTACTTCTTGCATAATGTCCCTGGAGTTCAGTTGTTTTTGTTTTTCTCATGCATTATTTTCTTTTTAGGTGCTTCACCTGGGGATGTTACTACATTACTCTTCACTCCAGAACCTTTACCGAGCATGACTAGATTTAAGGATTTAAAATCTAGCTGCTCCTAATTTAGCAAAACTGTAGAAAATCCCCACAAGATAATAAGATATACTGAAGTCATTATATGCTTTCTTTGATTTGCTCCCTAGGGCAGGGGAATTGAACCCTTTTCAGTCCAGGGGCCAACATCATTTTTGGAAAAGCTATCAGGGCAGGGCTGAAGGCAACTGGGGCATAGGCCAAAATTCCCAGAAGTACCCCAAAGTCCTGCCTATTTGATCTTAAAGCTTTTACTGTCTGTAACTGGCCCAGGGTATAGGTGGAAGACACAGACTGTTGCCAGTTTGCTGAAACAAAGCAGGTCTGCATCAATGCCTGGAGGGGAGACCGCCAGAGAAAGAGGACTGTCTGCTGCTTTAAGACCTGCCTGCGAACTGTCCCCACTCCCCTGCCTCCTAGCAATCTTTCTTGGCCTGTGGCTCATCACTATCAGGGCAAAGTGGCAACCAGCAGCTCCCTGGGGCTTATGAGCAGGCCCACTGCAGGGTATCCCTGAACAGGGCAACACCCTGTAGGGGTGTAGGGTGTGCATTAGTGACTGAGGTGGTTTCTTATGTTGTCCAGTGGGTTGGCAGGCATGGTGTCCTCTCTGTGACCAGTACCTGGCCACAACCATTTATTAAAATGTTTTAATAAATAAACCACTAGTTGAAGTTTTGTGATTGTGTGGGTGGATTATATATGTCTGGTTGAGGTATCATATATGTGTCCTTTGAGCAGTTGAAGGTATGCTTCTGTTGGAAATGAGTACTGAATATGTGGAAAGCTTTGGTATAATGGGATGATGTACATGGAAGATTCTGGTGCAGGGGCGCTTTCTGGGGCATGTTATGGAGACTTGGGTGGGTGAGCTGGGTGGGGCTGACCTGATCCAGTTCGGCCCATCTGGGTACTTGATAGTTCTTATGCTGAGCTTTCTAGGAGCTATCTATGGTACTGAAATCCATCCCCAAACAGGCTCACCATCATATAGTACCATAGATCACACCTAGAAAGCTCAGAATCAAAACTACAATGGATAAGGAGTCACTCACCTTCCCAACTGCATTGCAAGTACAATATATAAATAGGTAGCAATGCACATATTAAACTAATATCAGCAACAATATTAGAGCCAGTGTGGCGTAGTGGTTAAGAGCCTGGGACTGGGACTCAGACAATCTGGGTTCTAGTCCCCGCTCAGCCATGGAGCCCACTGGGTGGCTTTGGGCCAGTCACAGACTCTCAGCCCAACCTACCTCACAGGGTTGTTGTTGTGGGGATAAGATGGAGGAGGAGAATGATGTAAGCTGCCTTGAGCCCTTTGTAGGAAAGAGGCAGGATATAAATCGAAAAATAAATATAAATAAATATGATTTTTTAAAAATCCCAAGTGAAATGTGCCAATTCGTTTGAATCCATCCATAATGCAGGGATGTTGAACCAAGGCCAGATCCAGCACACCTGGAGTCTCCCCAGCTGGCCACTCCCCTTGACCTGGCCTTACCACCTTTCTACCCCAGCACTGATACTTTCTGGCTTTTGTGCAGATCTTTCCTCATTTTGAGGGACTGGGATACTTCTCTCAAGGCTTCATTATTATTTCTTTATTTTACTTAGATCCCACTTTTCTTCCAGCATATAGAACTCAGGGTGGTTACATATTATTTAATGTTTATTTATGTACATAATTTATATACCACTCTACATCTAAGCAAATTTTGGAACTATAAGCAGTGCAAGGTTAAAACAAATAAAGGTATTAAAATACATTAAAAACAAAATAACAGTATGTCTGTGGCTGGTCAGCAGGACAGCAGATGCTGAAAACAGCCCAGTATTGGTGCCCCCCTTTCTACTGGTCCCACCTCTTTCCTCAACCACCAGTCAGTCAGTAATTTCCCAGCTTTTATGTGGGTTCTTTCCCTGCTCCAAGAGCTTGAAATGCCTCTTTGAAAATAAGTCACTGGCAGAAAGACTTTTAAAGTGAAAGTATTTTGAGCCTTGCTGCAACTGTTTTTGGTTTCACCTTCTTTGGCCTTCAGCCCCAGCTAGCACTAGAATGTGTCCTTCTGTGAGCTTTGCCAAGATTTCCCCCCGGGCCACAAGAGTTTCAATACACTTGCCTTAACCTGTACAGCAATCGCTAAAGTAGACTTTCCCAGCCAGACAACTCTTATCATCCCTGACCACTGGATGTACTGGCTGGGGATGATGGGAGTTGCAGTCCCAAATATCTGAAGGGTACCAGGTTGGGGAAGACCGCTAGCAGGTATGCAGACCACAAAGCCATTGAGAGTTTTATAAATCAGAGCTGGGAAGGATGGACATACTTTGTTTGGATATGTTGCTTCATCTTGCTGGGTTAAGCAGATTGAATCCTCTCTCTTTTCCTCACTCCCCCTGCTCTTCTCCTTGCAGGAGCTCATCGATCTGACTGGAGAGGATATGGCTGTACAAACATCACCATGCAATGACTTTGGTATCATTGATCTGACTGAGGATGAGGAGACCATGGCTAGCCCTCTTCACAGCAGCAGCTACTTTGCTCAGGACCTTCCACATTCAGCAACGGTCAGCACTCAGCCCACATGCTCTCCTCAACTCACTGTGGCAGGGATGGCCAGCAAATCTGACAGGCCAGTGGACATGCGGAACAAAGACTGTGAGCGACTTTCTCCCAGAGAAGATGAGGCGAATCATCTCTGCTGTGGTGAGGACTCTGAAAGCAGCAGCCACACCACTTACAACAGTGACTTGGGCTCTTTGATAAGCGCACACCTGGAGTCAGCCATTTCCTCCTCCTCTGCAGCCCATGACAGCCCTGAAAGCCAGCCCTTCCTGGACTGTGTGGAAGAACCTCCCAGTACTTGCCCAGCTGGAAGAGTTCTCAGCCCCCAGCCCTCACCCACTGATCAGAGACAGTCTCCAAGCCCCATTCTCTCCAGCCCTCCTAAGGGCATTTTCACATCTCTGACAGAAGTCAATCTGCCTCTGTTAGAAGCAAATAACCCAGGACCGAATGCTGTGAAATCAAATGTTCAGGGCCCGCTTAAGCGAATTGACATTGAGGGCTCATTGAAAACGTGGCAGTATTTCCATGGGGTGCCTGTACATCACCCCTTTCTCCAAAATGTGGTACAAGAAAAGAATACCAGACAGGTAATTTGTGGGAGACAGAAGTTCCTAAAGTGTGATTTGGGTGTCTGGAATCTTGAGAAATGGAAGCAGACTTTTCTAAGATTGAAGGCACATATGTGGCACACTGGGTGTACTGTGTGAACAGGCTTACTTTGGTCTTTGTGATATTGGAGCCAGTGGTGGCTTGTGCCCACCTGCACTGGTGGGGTGGAGATCAGGGTAGATGCTCAGTGTGCCACTGAGATTGCCACTGGAGGAGAGTAGAAGAACATGTGCAGCATTTAGTAGCTATACTTTGGAACAAACGTACCTGATTGTGTAGGGAGCACCCTTCCCAATATAGTTCCTTCCAAATATAGAGCTGCCTCTGTGTGGGATCAAGCAAACTGTTAAAGCAAGGCTTTCCAGTTTCAGCAAGCTAAGGGGAAGAAGCTTCTTATCCAGCAGGTATGCCAGGGAACCAGATTAATAATCTTCCCACCAAAACTTAGACACCACCTCAATGTGAGCCCCATTAGAATGGCCTTATGTTGAGATGGGGTGAGAAAGCAAAGTAGTTCTTTTTTTTTCAAGAATATATGGCATAAATATAACACATAGTTTTTATGCAGGCATATATTTGTTTGCCATGAGCTGGATAACAAAGGACCAAGTGTTCTTATCCCCCAAAAGTCAACTCTGGAAACGTTTGAGCATCCTTCCACCCTTAACTTTCTCAAGTAGAGATTAGGAACTTGTCCTCTAGATGTTGTTGGATGCCAGCTTTTGTCATCTATAATCATTCAGCCATGCAGGCTAGGTCTGAGAGAAATGTAAAGGGAGGGCACCAGCAGGTTTCATTTAAGGCCCCAGCCCCAGTGTTTTGCTTGGTAAGCTATTACAACAAAAGTCTGCTGTTATTCCTTCACATCCATAAGAGCTGCTGACATGCAAGAGATGCTTTACAAAGAGCCAAAGGTTTTTAAAATAAACAAAGTAATTGTTGAGGTTAAAAAGCAATGCTTCAGTTTATTGAAGAGTCTCTGAATAAACTCTGTCAAACCAAAGGAGCAAGCCAAATCTTGATGCAGAGCAGTAATATGAATCCTGTGAGAAATTCCAAATTGGAAAACTTACTGGAGAATTTTAATATGTTTGCTTTTATATTTAGTAAACAAGGCTAAAAGTTCATTGGTTTTATTTGCATATTTTAAATGTCTGAGCTGTTTTTCCAGTGGCCAAAAGTGTTGAACAGCAATACATGGTAGGAAATTGCATCAGTAAATTATCCTTTGTGTCTTTTAATTGTATATATTCAAAGAAAGCAAATTGTTTTTATTGGAATGCTTGAACTATTTGAGTAAATAACTCAATACGCTCTTCCCTTTATATTAGGAGAACAGTTTTCAGTGCCATCCTTATTTTAGCCTCCTAATTTTAGGATGTTTGAAGAGTTGTACACATTAATATGCACTCCCTAAAGAGGGTCACCCAGAAAAATACTACAGTTTAGCTTTAAGATTTCAGTAGTCAAGTATCCATTCCAGCTGCCCATCTGGGGTATTATGTGTAATATCAAACTGGACTCTAGTGCTAGTTCTAATGACACTGTGTTAAGTAAACCAACATTTGCACACCATAACTAGCACTTGGTAGAACAATGGGAAAAGCACTGCCATGCCACTAAATGTCAGCAGTGGCACTGAAACTCAAACACAAAATGCCCCTTTCCCACATTGCCCTAGCAAGTATTGGTTTACACTAGTGCTGGGCCACTAGTCGATTTTATGGAAGTATGAATTTCTAAGGAGTGGAAAATGTCCCATGGTAAAAAGCAATTTAAAAAAAAACTCTGAACCATATCTACATTTCAGCACCATATCACAGTGTCTATGAATTGTATGTCATGTTGACATCTTGCTGTATTCACAGAAGAAGCCCCTGAAAGCCCAACGGATCCCATCTGGGAGACTGAGCATGGTGACCAGCACCATTGAGGAAAAATGCTTTCAGGCGACCTTGGACTTCCTTACGGATTATGTATCCTATCGGTACTACCCTCCAAAGGAGATCATGACCTGTGTGGTCAGCCAGATTCTGCTGAGTCCAGAGCGCCAGGATGTGTCACAAGAGATGCAGAAGGATGCTTACATGTTGTTAATGAAAATCCAGGCGTATGTATCCTTTGTGCTAGTTCTCATATTTGATTCTTTCTTACATAGGACTACTAATCCTTTCAGTTGCAAAAGCTCCTTCCTCAGCTTTGTGATTGTGGAATAAATTACAGTCCTAGGTTTGATTATCTGTCAAGTGGTCATTTAATGCTGGGGTGGGAACCTCCAGCCACAAGATAGTTTTACCCCTTGAGGCCTTGAAAGAGTAGGAAAGTGACTGAGCCATGGTTCTGCCCCCTGGCTCCTCTCTTGCCTTCCCTGTGCAGGGTACACAAAGGAGGAGTGACTGCATCCTTCACGTGGGTTTCACTCCATTCAGGCATTTCCTAGCAGGGAAAGCCTGGGTGAAACATATTTGGCTCCCCCAGGCAGCACCTTGACTGGGGAGCCAAATACACTCTACCCAGACTTTCCTCAGCAGGAAGAGGCCTGCCTATAATGAAACAATTTCCCTAACAAAGCAATGGCTGAAACAATAGAATCCCATAGGTAGCTTACTTATGATCCCCAGGTGTGGAAATAGAGAACATAGGAGTAGTCTGTGGAATCAGATCAAAGGTCTATCACACCCAGCATCCTGTCCCCACAGTGGTCAACTGAATGTCTATAAGAAGCATGGCATGACTATAGCAGCACTCGCCTGCTTATGCTTCCAAGTAGTTAGCTTTGAGAAGCGTACTGCCTTTGATCCTGGCACCAAAATGTATCCCTTCTGATCAGTAGCCTTTGCTAACCTGTTCCCCCATGAATTTGTGTATCACCTTTCAAAGCCATCCAAGCTGGCAGACTTCATTATATCCCATGGCAGCTACTTCAACAATTTGACTTATGCTTTATGTAACCAATGACTTAATTTTCTGTTGCACTCAATTCTCCCACTTTTAAGCTCCACTGGATGACTTTGGGCTCTGGTATTTGAAGGGCAATCCTATGGCTGCTGGCCCAATCCACACATGTGCAGATCAAGCTGAGCTCAGTTAGGGAAGCCCAGCTCTTTTTATATTGCCAGGGCTGTAAGAAGGAAAGTGCCTTGCTAATTGAAAACCACAACTGATAATAGTTAATGCATCTTTCTCTATATTAATGTAATATGGATGTTGCTTTGGAATGTGCCATTCTGGTTACTGGCAAAAAAGACTGTTGAGGTTATTTGATGATATGAGAAGCCTAATTTTGAATCTTAGATTTCACCCAGCTGAGGTTGACACAGTGGTGTGGGACTGGCAGCTGCTCTGCAAGGTCATGGAAGAACAGGTATGCTGATTTCACACATGCGTACTGTATGGGACGGGCGATTCTTGACTGTGATTTTGCCAGCCTTTGCTTTGCAACTCAGTGCAATCCTGTGCATGAATACTCAAAAGCAACTCCTACTGAGTTCACTGGGGCTCGCTCCTGGGTGCGTGTAGGATCTAGGGCAGCTGCATGCCCTTCTTCACAGAGCACAATCCTCTGTTTGCAAGCACCTTCTTTTTGACAGGCTATCTGCTCTGGGGTAAAAAAAAAATTGTAAGAGGAAGAGCTGCCCATCAATAGGTAGCTCCTTGAGAACAGACTGAGTTGACCCCACATATCTCCACAGTCAGACTGCCCCACTACACAAGGGCTGGAGGTGACGAGACAGTGCCCTGGCTCCCCTGAGCATTTGCTGGGCTGCTGCCTAGCCTATTTGGAGCAAGCAGCTTGCTTCCTCACCTTGGATATGTGTAATAGCAGCCTATGATTGGCTCGTGCCTGTCAGCGTCAGTCCAGGCTCTTGTATCTGCCACTTGCCATGCTGAACCTGTTTGTGAAAAGAGACCTGCTTGTGGGAAAGGATGGTCTACCCTTGGCATTTGTACTGATGTTGTCGTGCCTGACTCACTGGCATGTCACCTGATGCTTTCCCCAAAAGCCACCTCCTCAGGTTAGGCTTTGGCAAAACTGCAGCAACGTTAAGGAGATAAGCTTCATCAGTCAGCCTTCAGCTACTTTCCTGCCTCCTTCATCCCTCCCAGCATCTCTTTCTCTGACTTGCTCAATCGACTGGAGAGTTAAATGCAATATTCCATGATGGAATAACTATTCAGAAGTGAACCAGTTCACCATCAATGGGGTTAGTCAGCCATCAATCATATGGGGAAGTTGACATGGGAGAAGAGCTGCTTTTACTTCCAGGAATACTCCTGGGTAGAGAGGAATGAGGATACTAGTTGTCTTGGCATCACCCTCTGGGAGGACAGCAACAAGTAGCAGCAGCACCTCTTCCCTCCCCTTGATGTCTTGTGAGTGGGCAAGAAGCTGTCAATTGAAAGGTGGGGAAACCCACTTTTGCTTTTAAGGACCATGTCCCTGCACACACCTCTTTCCACCTCTTCCAGTTACTTGTATGTGACACAAGATCATGTTTTCAACACTGTGGGAACTGTACTGCCCTTTTGGCATGCACTGCAATAGTGGCAAATACATCTTGCATGAAGACCTCACCTGTGCTCCCTGCTGAGCAGAAGGGGCTGTGGTGCAGATTGCCCCTGCCCCTTCCAACGCACTCATGATTTTGTGCCTGGCTCCCTCAGGAAGAAAAAAATCCTGGACGACTTCTATTCTTGCAGTATGTGATCCAGACCTTAGAGGACGACTTCCAGGAGATGGCCAAAAAAGACAATCTGCCCAAATCCATTGCCAAGATGGTGCTTTCCTGTGACCAGTGCTTCAGCAACATAAAGTAATTAGCCTCGTAAGAACGTCCCTTTGTATCAGGTAGCCAAGACCTTGGGGAATTTTATTTTTCAAGGGCTTTCTGCTACTTGAGCTCATAGTTATGCTGGGCAATGGGCCTCGATAACCTTCATATATGTGAGTCTGCCTAAAGTACTCTAACTATTTGTAATGCCACACTTGGACAAAGCCCGTGGACCTCTGAGATCAAGGCAAAGCCGACACAAGCAGATTCCTAACAAAGGCTCCTGTTTCTGTCCCAGGAACGTGATTGAATGGCTAGTGGCTGTAGTCACAGGCGCAAAGATTTCCCACGACAAAATGCTTCTGCAGAGTGCAAGCAGTACTTCAGCATCAGCAACATCCAGGCGTGAAAGTTGCTCCTCCCTGCCAGAACCACGCTCATGCCAGACAGTTCAAACAAATGATGCTGCTTTAAAATTTCAGAATCAAAAGTAAGCAGAAGAGATGTTTTCTTCTTTGAGCTATGCATTGCAGATTCCCTACCCACCCGCCCATGCTATATTTTAATTATACAAAGCTGGGTTAATGTCTTTGGCAAGTTAGGATGGCCAGGTGCACTAGGGAAACACCGATTTCCCTGAATGCATTGTCTTTGGTGTTTGCTTTAGGGGAAGGGTTGTCTTGGTAATGTAGGATGCTTCTCTGTGTCGCTAGGCTTAAAGTCTGACCTTGGCAAGCCCCAGTCTTGCCTCCAGAGGATGCCAACAAGAAAGAAAAATCAATACCTTTTGCACAGGGCCTCCCTTGAGTTGCTTTTGCCCATACCACACACTGATAGCTGTACAAAATAGATTTTTCCCTTGAGTGGAGTTCCATGCAGCTGCAAGGACATTTGGATCATGTAGTACCCATATTTCTTGGAAACTATACATGCCAGTATAGACTAGCCTTCCTAAACCTACTGCCTCCAGATGCACTGCACTGTAACACCCCTCATTTCCATCAGTGCAGCTAATGATGGCAACTGCAGGACACTACACCTGCAGGGCACCAGCTTGGAGAAGGCTGGCAAATACCATTTATCTAGCTGTCCTGTATGGGGATTGGATTCAACCACTTCAATGGCTGGGTGGAGCCCCCACAAAACAGAAGGCATCTTGGCAACAGTAACATAACACTGGCCAAACTGCTTGAAGCAAGCTCACATCTCAGTCGTTCACTCTGAATAATCCAGGTGGACCACATTTCAGATCAAAAACCAGGCTTTCTATCTCTTCCAAAATGGCTCTGCAGCAAAGCAGCCTCACCCCACCTGGCACCTTCCAGGTGTTTTAGACAATGGCTGCATTCACACACAAGCCATCTTGAAATCATGCTTGTCATTCAAGCATCCAGGGTGAAGTAGGGCACATTTGGTTCCCAACATTGAGTTTAGTGGCACGAGTGGCTCCAGGTGCTCCAGCCTGCGTTATTTGCTGGCCTGTTCTGCCTGACAACTGCTGAGGCAGCTGTAGCCAGTCTGACCGGCTGCCTTGCCCTGCTTTTTTTCTGTCCATATGCTGCCTTTCCAAAGTCCAGGGCAGTGACAGGATCACATCAGCAACAGGACATTGCCATCTCCAGTAGCAGCAACCAAGGCGGCAGCTGTGCTTGGCACTCCAGTCTGGTCACGGCCCTGTCTTGAGCAGCACTTTGAAGTGGCACCGTGTTTGTGGAGCCTCATGTGGAGGCTGCAGTGCACACAAGGATCATATAGGCAGCACCTGGAACTTCACCGACAGGTTGAGCATCCCAAGGAGACTCTGTCTCCTGCCCCACAATCCTTGCCCTCCCCCCCCCCCAGCTGTGAGGTTAATACTGCCCTGTCAGCCTGCTTGCAAGCTTTCCGAGGCAGATGCCCAGTCAGGCACCATTGGGAGAGTCTGCCCAGCAAGACATGCACCCTCTGCCCCAGGCAGGAGTGCCCACACTGATGCTCTCCATGCACCTGGCTGCAGTGGGACAGCCCCAGCAGTATGTGCAAGCCTTGTGCATGATGAAGCGTGGACATACACGGAGGGAGTGGTAGAGGTGGGTGTGAATGTCCATGCACAAAGCACATGGGAGCAGCAGAGCACACTCCTGCAGCGCTACCCTGGAGCAACACTGCTACTCAGTGAGTAGGCAGTTGCTTTGCTGAGCAGCCCAAAAGAAAGGAGCACCCAGCTGAGAGCACACCCAGGCCAGTGTGTGGGCCACTGAGGGAGAGGCAGGCAACATAGGCAGGGTCGTGCATCCAGGGATTGAGTTCAAGCAGTGGGGCCTGATGGGATGTGCCACCTTTTGGAGGGAAGATGGAGATGCATGGAAACTTATATCAATAGAAACCATGCAACTGTCTGAATGTACAAGGCCAGAGCCTTTGCAATGCAGTGACCACAACTTTGCTTAGCTGTGTGTGTGAATGCACACTAAGCGTCCTTTCACCCCAGCCACCACTACTCATTAAGAATGAAAGGAGCTGTTGTCTAAATTATCTGGAAGGCAGCAGTTGAGCCTAGGTGGGTCTGAAGGTGATGTTGGCTAGCTAGGACCATGGTTGGCTACACTACATTGGATGGAGTTGGGAGGAATTAACACTGTATTCTTGGTCTCTGGCTTAGGGTGGTAGCACTTCTCCAGAGGATGCTTTCCATAGCTGTAGAAGTGGACAAGTCTCCAAACTGCAGTGCCCATAAAATTGCAGACATTATGCTTTCTTCAGTGCTGAATATTCCCAAGCACTGCCAGAGGTAAGGAAACACTTAAGCAAGTCCTGAATTGATACCTAGCTGCCCCTTCTGCCTCTGGCTATGTAATAATTACACTCTTTAGTAATTAGTTTTGGGCAAAGTGCAAGCTTCAGACATTCTGTGTTCAACCTAGAGGACTAAAGGTCTGGGATAGATCTGGCATCTCAGCCAAAGTACTATGAGGAACAGAAACTTTTAACCACATGAGGAATAAAACTGAGTATATCTGTTAGTCCAAGAGGACTTTCTCCCTCTGCACTCCCCTCTCCCATATGGGAAGCCCTCTGTCCCACCTGAACATTGGCTTGAGGTTTTCACAACCCACATTGTTCTCATTTTGAAGAACAGAGGGGCTCATTTTGAAGAACAGAGGTAATTTCTTAAATCAATGAAATGAAGATGACTTAACTTTACAATATGCTTGTAGAATTTGACAGTAGCAGCATAGAAGCCTAGATGAATATAAATAGGAACACTCTACTGGTCCTCCAGATCAGCTAGTATTATGCTAGATTAGTATTCATTTAGCTCGTTAGTAAGCAACTTAAATGAATACTAATCTAGCACACAAACACAACACAAGTGGCATAGTTCCTTCAGGAACTTCACTACTTTTCTTTCTACCAGTTATTTGGTTCTGCGTCATTGATCTACTTGTGCTCCAGCTTCTGGGCTGAAAAACAAGGGCTGTTTACCAGAGGGAAATGAAGCAGATAAGCTTATTAAAACCTGTCCTGTGCTTGAGTACACATTAGCATTCACAGCAGTAAAGTGTGGCTTGGCAACTAGTCTGCCTGAGCTGGGTGGATGAGGGTACGGCTAATACATTTTTTGGTGGGGTTGCCTACTGGCTACTTTGAAAGAGGCAAGAGTTAAGTCCCTTGCTTACCAAATCCAGCCTTAAACCATAAAACAGGCATAGGGAGCCTGTAGGAGTTCCCTAGGTCCACGCCTTTTCTTGCTGGGAGAGAGGGCAGGTCCCAGAGAAGATGGTGCTGGTTTCATTCTGCTTACCTTTGAGTAGACATGTTACTTGAGATGACAAGCAGCAATTTATCTGATTGTTTGGATCCATTTCAATCTACTGATAAGGGATTAGTTTACATCCTTGATCAACCTTATAGCATTCCCATTTCTCATCAATGATAGGTTATTATCTTTAGGACCTCTCTACAGCTTTTGATAGTAATCTGACCATGCTATCATTTTGGATCATCTTGATCTCCAGTGTTTCTACTCCTTTATAGAGAGCAAGTGTCAGCAGGTCTAATTAGATTCACTACTTGTCATAGGAAAGAGCAAATTATGTCCCTGAGGGCTCTTCAGATATCACTTTTGTATCCATAACCCCTCAACTGGGATCATGGAATAGCAGTTATCAATATGTAAACACCAAACTTTTTTTCCTTTTCATCTGTCTGTTATACCTCTGCAGGGATAAAAGGCATGATGAATTAACTTAATATCAATCCAAACAAATCTGAAGTGATGACTGTGAGGGAATCAGTGCAACAGCTGGAAGGTTTGAAATCACTTGGTAAAACATAGTACAGAAATAAAAATAGGAACAAATTATTTCCCTACATCTTTTCTTGCAGGGAAGCCTTCCTAAGCAGTATGGAATGCCATCTCCTGCGATGCAAAGTGTTGGAGCTCATTTTCCAATACAGCTGCACAATACGGACCAAACAGCCTTTATCTTTAGCAACAATCCTGCATTTTCTGGACCATTTTTCTCTGCTGCTCACATACCAGGTAATTCAGTGCTTCTTTCCTTCATTTATGAGGGGAGAAAGAACAGAAAAAGTGGTTGCGCCCACCCTTTCCATAGGTATGTAATATTTAATTCTCCACTTTCTCCGCAAGCCCTTTAGAGGTCATAGAACCACCTACAGCTTGTAAAATTGTTAAATTGATATAAAGCAGATCTAAAATACTGTTTTACAGGACAATGAAGAAACATGGCAGAGATGGGACGAGATGCTTCATTACTTGAATTTACTGTTGCTGAGTTATCGCAGCATAGTCTTAGGTGAGCAGTTTGCCCTCAGTTCCCTCAGCTTGTGCATTGAGTCCCTAGCCGGAGCAAGTCATGCTCTTTCATCTCCACTAGAAACCTACTTGCTTCCATATGTGCTTGCTCATTACTCATTAAAAAGCCATTTACAGTATAACAGGAAAACTTTTAGTTAATACAATTACCTCCTCAAATCTACACCTTTTTATCATTGAAAATACAGTTATGCCTCAAAATCACTTTTGTGGTAATTGCAAAGGACTTGTTCCTTTTAACCAGAGATGGGCAACTTCAGAGGTCCAGGGGCCATTTCACCCTCCAGGTTTCACCTCCAAAGCAGCAGACCACCAGTTTGACACCAAATTTGGCATCAGTTTGACACTACTCCATTGCACTGTAATTTATATTTCTATACTTAAATAATTGTAAATTATACAGTGGTACCTTGGCTCATGAACTTAATCCGTTCCAGGACTCTGGTCGTGAGCTAAGTTAAATTTCCCCATAAGGTTCAATGTAAATAAGGTTAATCCGTTCTGTAACTTTTTTTTTTTAACCACAAAAATTTGATGCAAAGTGACAAAGAACAACAAAGATTGCGGCCATCCCCCCCCCCCGCCACACACACACCCTGAGCACAAACATGGCCATTTCCCCACCCCCAGCATGACAATTGCACCTGTCATCCCTGCACGAGCACGACTGTGATTGTGGCCATAGATGGGTGACTGCGGGGACACTGGGGGGGGGGGGGGCAGGCACAATCGCGATCATTACCCAATGCAGAGTTCGTGACCTGAGGCAAAATTTTTCAGAAATTTCTGTTCACAACCCAATTTGGTCATGAAGTGAGCCAAGGTACCTTTGTACATAATTTATAACATATAGCATGTTACCAAACTAAATATAACTCTTTGAGCTTTCTGTAGCTGGACATTATATAACCCTACAATTTTTTTCATGGAAAGAATGCCTGGATGTTGCCCACCTTGTTTTATGTTTAACATTAGATTCTGTTCCATATAGGAGGGAAAAAAGCTTCCAATGATTTAAGCAGTTTTTCATGAGAATTTAGGTCCAAATACCAGAGGGAGAAATAGCCTTTGATAATTGCAAGTAATCTCCATCAGCATTCAATAATTGTTTCCTCCTCATTGTAGGGCACTTAAGAAGTTCTGTGTGTGAAAGAAGTAAATTAATTCTCAAGGCTGCTAAACCCAAACTACAATCAAATGACTATATTGAAGGAAGTGATATAGAATGCAAAATTCAAACCTTCCAAAGGCAACTCTTTGAGATTCTGGGGCAACCAATTCCTTCATCCATCGCAGAAAAAATTGAGCTACTACAAGTTTTGCTTCTCACAACTAAGGATATCTAACAGGACTGCTGGTCAGCTAAAATATGGACCTTTTCCAAGTGGAAACACTACTCTGTACATAAACATTCCCTGTCAAAAGACACCTTAACACATTTTTTGTATTCAAGTCATGTTTTCTATGACAGCTCAAGCATTTTAAACTCCTGTTGTATAGGTTTGTTTGTTCCCAAAAGAAGATAGGATAGTTTTAATAAATTGTTTTACTAGTTGAGAGGTAACATTGAACCTTTTAAAATTTAAGTTTTACAGAGGGCATAGGGTGGAAAAGTGAGCACGTAATCAACCGACCACTGGAAATTAGCTATAGTCCTCAGAATTGAACCTTACTGATTTCCAACAGGATCTACTCCAAAGTATTATAGGATTGTGATGCATGGTAGAGGTGTCCTGCCATTGTAACAAACACACTACTTCTATAATAATGATCACATCCTTATATTCTTGTTGCTGGGGGGTTTTTAATTCCACTGAAAATATTAGGCACAGAGACGTGAGCACAAAACATCACAAAATAAATTAAACATTAACTAAGGAGCTGGATCACAGGCTACTGTGATGGCAATAGCTAACAGGATTGACATAGTTGGAGTGCTATTAAAACAATACACATTCAAGATGAGAAGATGGATGAGACTTAACCAGGTCACTTCGCTACAGTATCACTCATAATGTGTCAAAAGAACATTTGGTTTTAGATAGAACACAAACCCTCTTAAGAGCATGAAAAAGATTAGTGGCAAAAGTCTGAACAAACATGCCATTAAACAAACAGAACTATATAATGGATGTTCCAAGTCTGCCATCTCATTGCTGTAATATAAAGCCAACCGGCGGCTTAGAGTTGAGACCAAGAAAACACGACCAGTCCATGCCACATTTGCCTCAGGCCACAGACAGACTACAACAGGTATTCCACTGCTTCATTTACAGATCTGTGAAAATAGGCTTTTATACCAATTAGTTATGTCTGCAACTAAGTTGAACATTTAAGTTAAAATCCTCCTACGCTGTACTTTGAAACCCTCTGCCTCCTAAGAAAGCATAAACATGTCAGTAACTTAATTCCCATTTCAAATCCTTTTCCCAGAAGGTGCCACTAGAAGTCCCAAACAATGCCACAGCCACGATCCCAGAATCTTGCTACTCTGGAAATGAAGGAACTTGTCCATCATCCTCCGGCTTTAGCATTATGATACGCTGAACTATCTGATGTCAAAAGCAAAGGACTTCACAGATTGTGTATTTCATACAACTGTTCTTCCATGATGAAACATGATATCTTACAAGTGCATGCAGCCGTGCAGTCAACCTCCAGGTTTGAAGATTACAGAATCCCTCCAGGAGCAAGACTCTCAGTATAGTTAGTGCTACATTCCCTCAAAAGTTTGAAAACGGAGCCATTCAGATGCTAAAGGCATACAATGTACATTTCAGTAACATGAGCCAGGTGTATCAGTCCACATAGTCCAACCAAAAAAAGCTGTTGGTGGTTTTCCCTTTATAAAACTTAGCTCTATAGAAAAGCACTGGGTTAAAGATCAGAACTTCACTGGCCGAACGGCTACAACAACATGTACAGAAGACATTTGAGAAGAAAAAAGCAGTAAGTCCATAAAATTGCCCAGATCTTGTTTCATCACCATCTATAATTCTGAGCTAATTCCTATGTCACCTGTTCATTAGTGTAATGGGAAATACAGCCCAGGACCATTTGGTCCATTATCAAATACCAAGACCATCCTCCCATGTAAGTGAAGCTGTTCCTAGAACCCAGTGGGAGTAAGTACATTCATGTCCCGGGGTTTGAGGTTGTGGGAACGTGGGGATCGTCTATTTTCTTCCATAGATGCAATGTCCATCTTGGGAGGCTTGAAAGTTGAGGAGTCCTCTGCCAGTCTGGTAGCCTGAGCGCGCATTAGCTCCATTGGGGTTGGCTTCTGGGCACCCTTATAAGACTGGATAGTAAAGCTCCCTGAGAAAAGTGGTAAGAAAAAGGAAATATGAGCAACATTTGTGCACACGTGCAGCTGCCCACTGTAAAGTTAAGACAAGTACCTTGCATTCTAGTGAGTTTACAACACTTATCAGTCACATGCCACATTTTTAAACATATTCCTATGAACAGACTAGCACTGGAACTGCAATGAATCTCTACTGACAGGGCATCTGCACTTAATCTGCAGTAGTTTTGTGCCAACACAGGATCCATTAGTATTGAAAGAGTCAGCAACAGTGGTGGGGAATCTATATTAAAGAACAAATTATAAGTGTAAGAGTCAGTAATATTCAATATATATTTTCTCAACAATGCTAAATGAATAGAGTATCTCTATTGAGAAACTATAGATTCATAGAATGGTAGAGCTGGAAGGGGCCAAGAAGGCTACTGGGTCCAATTCCCTGCCCAGTGCAGGACTCCAAGTTAAGCCTCCCTAACAGGCGGCTACGCAACTGCACCCTGAAGAACTCCAGTGGAGGGGAGCATGGAACCTCCCTAGGCAACTGGTTCTATTATACTGCTCTAACAGCCAGGAAGTTCTTCTTGATGTTCAGCTGGAACTTGGTTTTCTGTAACTTGAGCCCATTATTCCGTGTCCTGCACATTGCAATGATCAAGAAGAGCTCCTAGACTCCTCCTTTGTGACAAGAGGCAGTACTTGAACATAGCACAGCATGATCAGGAGTGGTAGGAGTGTTATTCTGAAATCTAAATTTCATTTTCTGACTAGCTTTTAAATGCAGTATTTGAGCCTGTGTTACAAACTACAGAAATCTGTAGGTATGCAGTACAACATGCCATCTGTTACATGCACTCACCTCTGTAGTTCTAGTTTAAATCCACTACATTTTTTTTTAAAAAGTAAGGATCTTTATAATCTTGTCTCATCCTATTTTTAGTCTTTCTAGCCAAATCTGTACTTTGTCTCAACTCCTCCTTTACTATTTTGGTCCTATGTAAAGCCAGCATACATTTGAGTCATTCTCTTCTTACAAAGAAGGTGTTTTCATAAAATGTTACTGCACCAGAATCAGTAGTGGATCTCTGAAGTGCTCTTGGTCCAAAGAAGCTCCATTTTTCAGATGGTACTTTATCACTTTCTCCACTGCTAGGATCCATGCAGCCAAGATCAGAACCAGCGATAGCTGTGGAAGTTCCCTGACTAAACCAGCCCCTGTTGATTAAGAACATAAACTTTATCAACAGGCTTTAGTAACATCGGACAAGCACAAACAGCCAACCCAACTGAACAGCTCCTGCTCCCAGCTGGTGTACAGCACAAGATAATTCAGAGATATATCTATCCACAAAAGGAGAAGTGGGTATCATTAAAACCCCAACTTAAACCTAACAGTTTTCTAATCTAGACAGATACACTATCCCACAGAAATGGATTCCTAGTAATTTAAACACAATGTTTAAGTGTCCTTTGCTTTCCTCTTGGGAATTTACCTGAATGTTCGCTTGGGAGAAGAATGGGGAGTGTTGCTTGGAGTAGATTGGACAGAAGATGTCTGTTTATCTTCTTTTGTCATCTCTCCACTTTGCATCTTCAGAGTCTGTTAGAAGGGCAAAGACATGCAGGTGGAAACTGAAACTAGCCAGGTGAACAATCAAATTAGTATGATTAAATAAAAGCATTTAGTGCCATGTTTAAAAAAAATCTGTATGCAAGATGATTACATGGAGTGTTTTCTGACTTGAGAAGATCAGGAGGTACATACAAACACATGCCACCTTTCAAGTCACTACCCTCTATCAACTATGTAGCTAGTTTAGCATGAGCTTTAACAGCCCAGCAAGGATATAACAGTTGTTTTCCAGTAGTAATAAACTGTATTCCCTGTGGTAATGAATTGTATTTTCTGCCTCAGAAAGGTAGGCTTCTGTTGTTCTGAACAAAAATTTACATAGCTTTCTTGTCAATGCCTTGATACTGATTGAGAATCCAATTTGTCATATACACATGCACTCTTAGACAAATGAACAGACAGTATACCCAAACAGAAAGCAAAAAGCCAATCATAATGTCAATGATACCCAGTCAGCAAGAATACCACCCCTCCACACTTAATTCTGTGAAGTAGGAATAGACCGCTTCTACCCACTAAAGCCCAGTGGGACTCAAACACCTTACATGGAGTGACTCAGCCACACGATGGTATTTTGTCTCCTCTGCAGTGAGGCCCTTGTGGGGAGTGTATCCGGCATCTCTCAGCCCTGCCTGCTGCTCAAAGCGCTGAATGCTCTCCTGAGTTTGTTCTAGAATGGACAACATGACACATTCACACAAGCCACAGAACACAGCTGCCTACCATGGATTTCTAAGCGGAAACATCATACAGCACTTATAGTTACCTGACATTATAAAAGTACAGAGGGTTGGTTGGTTTTCTTTAGCCCATCTGCACCAACTATAGTAAGGGGTCAGAACACAGCTTGTTCTGGTATTAGCAGGTGTAAACAATCAGACATAAATTATGTTGCTCTGTTGGTCTCAAGTCCTGTGACCCTAGCTCTAGGTTCCTTCTACAAGATATGTGCACTTCTTGGCTCTACAGAAAGTTGCTCTAGCAAAACAAAATCTTAAGAATGCTGCAACTAGTTGAAGGAGGAATACCAGGTCAGTATGTAACCTGTGTAACACCTTCCTCCATACATGCCTACATGGATCTTCCTCTGAAGTCCCCCTCCGAATAGCCACTCCCCAGGTGAGGTTGAGGGGACTATTCTCTGTAGTAGCACCCAGACTTTGGAACTTGCTCCTCGGGGACATATGGCTGGCACCAACCTTGCTTTTTTTTAGGTACCAGGTAGAAACTTTGTCCCAGCAAGCGTTTGGCTAATTTAAATTGCATTTTGTTGTTTCAATTTATTTGGTTATATATGGTTTGTATAATTTTATTATGTTGAGATACATTTTAATGCTTTATTAATTTTACAGCTTTTATTTATTTCATCAGTTGTATTTCTGGTGCTGGTTCAGATTCTATAAGCTGCCCAGAGAACCCTTAGGTTAAGCAGCAGCATAAAGTAAAATGAAATAAAATATTGCCATCCTCCATGCTTTTGCTATTCAGAGTAGAAACAGTGCCCCTCTTCCCCATTTCCCTGTTAGTGGCTGTTAGGAGAAGAACAGAATAGGAGCTACCATCTTAGGAATGTAAGAAGCTGCCTCATACCAATCCATCTTGCCCAGTATTGTCTACACTGACCAGCAGCAGCTCTCCAAGATTTAAATAGTTTTCTGCAGCCTGAAGATGCCAGGGATTGAATCCAGGATCTTCTACATGCAAAGCCACTACTCTGTGGAAGCATTTTAAATATTGCATTGCTTAAAAATAAATAACATGCATTTCACTGTTTTATAGTATTCTTGCTAAATTACTTTTAACATGGTGCAAAAGCAGAGATGTCACACCACTGAGAAAGATAGCTTTAAGATTCACATTATCTTATGAATTTTCAGAATATCAGGCATTAAAGAAAGAAACTGAATTCAATGACCATAGTGCTGTGCTTTCTAGGCTCAACCATGCCTGCTCTAAGGGTAATTTTACACTTCCAAAACAGAAAGATAAGGTAGAGATAACACTTTACATTACACCCAAATATTAATGAATCAAGCAGATATGACAAAATGATGCAGCCTATGTTTGTTTGTTTGGAGTGCTTGTATGCCGCCCCATGCGCATAAGCCTCGGGGCAGCTTCCAATCAAATAAACAACAATATACAAAAATATACAGAATTGGAAACATCCTGGAGTTAGATAAAAGCAATAAATAATTTAACAATCAATTAAAGTAACATTTAAATAAAAAGGTCTTGGCCTGGCGCTGAAAAGCAAATAATGACAGCGCCAGGCGGACCTCTCTGGGAAGCGCATTCCACAGATGGGGCGCCACCACAGAGAAGGCCCTCCTCCGGGTACTCACCCACCTAATTTCCTTCACAGAGGGTTCCCGGAGAAGGGCCTCTGCCACCGATCTTAGAGGGTGGGAGGGCAAGTATGGACGGAGGCGCTCCTTCGGGTACCCACATAATGTTCCACATTGCTAAGTAGCAGAATACACTATTTGCATCCTTTTGAGTCTCTCAGCTTAATTCACTGTTAATTCATTAGAAGGATACCTTCTGAGTTTTCCTCAATAGATTTAACACCTATCAGCAGAGCAATCCTATGGCCCCCTGAATAGCATCTAGAGTATTCTCACAGCTGGAGATCTGCACCCTGACCCCTACCCAGCATCTGCAGCCAGCATGAAAGAAACCACGCTGGTCCCACCTCAAAGGTTGTAGGGCAGGAAAAGCAGAGTGGCTGAAATTGCCTCCACACTCCTCCTGCTCTGCACAGGACACCTGTAATCTGGGTTTCGAGTCTTATAAAGATCCCTACTGGACTGTGCCCTAAAACTTGTATTAATGCAAGTTTTCTTCCACTGCAAGGCATTTTAACACCACATTTATCAGAAAATAGAATGAGTTAGCCAAGCTAACAAGTAAGAGCTTGCAACAGAGGCCCATTAACACAGCCACAAAATGTGTAGTTAAGTGCTGCAGCATTTGTGAGGAGCTGACTTCCAGTGCTGCCCCTGCTAGCTCGCATCCCAGGAAATCAGAATTTAGAAGTAAAGGTTTCAAATTTGCTGTTACATAATTTTATCACTTTGTTTACAAATAAATGATCTGACCCCATCCAAATGTATCACATAGTTCAGATAACCCACATGATAATGGGACATGGTCAATACTGCAGAGATCCATGTCCATTTTAATTGTTACTAGAGGAATACGAGAGCTCTTACTTGTAATGAGAGAATTCATGATGTGGGTGGCCTTGGCCTTCACTACTGGAACCTTGTTCACAGTCTCAGTGGAAGATGAGGGGTTTATAGCAGATGGATGCATACTAGTCTCCCCTTCCTCAACCTGTGCAGAAGAAGCCAGGTACAATATGAAGAGAAAGTGGCAAAATTACCCCAGGAGAATCTCAGCCTTCTCCTGATCCTTATGGAGATGGAACTTGGAAGTACATCTAAACTGTATGCAGAGACTGGTGCTCTTTGACATATCCATTACTCCTCCTATAATATATTCATTATGTACAACACTCTCCGAAGCCTGGACTTGCTGCCAGTAGATAAGGAGTAGAGGAAGCTATAGATCACGCCTACCTTTATTGAAAAGCCAAGCTGCTGTTATCAAAACAACCAAAACTGTTCTTTTCTTAAAAGGTAACTCCACCCCTAGAATTCTCCTGCCTAAACTGACAACTATGGCTTTAAGACAATTCTCTGGTTCTGAATAAACCAAAACTCAGAATGCAATGATCACAACCAGTTATTATCGCACTGCACAGTCATTCAACCTCTGCAACAAAAATCTGTATTGTTCGAAACACAGATAAAGTTGAAAACAGCTACTTAAGATTATTTGCATTATTTAAGAGACTACAGAAATCTGTTATTCAGATATATGCTTATTTGCTAAATGTGACCATTTTTCCTGTATTCCTTTTAATGGGATATTAAAGCATTATGTGTATTGAACAATTTGCAGGATGACTGAATTGGTCTTGTAGGGTTTTTTCCTCTTTAAGCCCCCACTACCACTATTTCCCAAACAAGATTTAGAATACACTGTCTCAAAGCAATACAGAATCTACTTTTTTCAAACCTTTCAAAGAAGTATTTCATCAAGATTGGATGTTTTTACGTGCCTTCAGAGGTACTATGCCTTTTGCTCACGCTCAAAAAGCATTTTCATCCTTTTTGCCAGAGACATTTCAAAGTCTGACCTCTTAGATCCATTTTATTTTTTAAAAATTCTAGCTTTAAAAAGCTCCTATCCCTTCCAACATGCTTCAGCATTATCCCTTCCTCACCAGGACAATACAACTGGAATCTAATGGACGCTCCACAGCGCGATGCGACTCTAGAAACTGCATACCTTGGAAAGCTCCTCATATTTACGTTCTGGGATGACTGGCTGTTTCCACAGGATATTGGAGCACATATTTGAAGGAGGAGGAGTCATTGGTGCAGTATCCTCCAGGGCATCATCATAACTGAATGCCCGACGACTCATTCCAATTGGCTGGGACATCTTTCCTAGAAGGTTTCCAGAGCCATGCTCAATAGCTAAGGACAAGAGATGGAGATTTCACAGGGGGCTGGACCTTGTAGACCCTTAGCTTTTCACAAGCAGTAGTACAAATCACATTAGTCCTTTCATTAAGATAATCTAAAATCAACATCACCGATTTTGAGAACAAATTTCCATATGATTAACAGTGCAATCATATGGGCTCTAAACAGCATCTGAGGGGTTACAGGATATTCTGGATCCCTCAGTTCAAGGTCAGACTTCAGAACAGGAAATCAGAACTCTCGTCCCACTTTGCAGCTTAGGTGGAAAGAAACAACTGCGTTCCAAGATCAGAAACTCGACCTCAATGAACAGGGCATTTGAGTGGGAGGCAGAGGCTACAAAGACCAGGACACAAGTTATCCTGAGGCCTCTCCAGGCTCCTTCCTTCCCACCCCAATGTGCCTCAGCTAGCCAGGCAAAGAGCCTATCTAGACCAAAATGCAGGGCAGATAGAGCAGAGGCAGGAGTTACCTTTCTCCTGCAATACATAACATGTATTATGTATTTATGCCAAGAAAATAATAAAAATAATGAACATGTTCATAAGCCTCCAAATTTGGAGCCGTCTGAGCTTTGGGAATGTAACTCATAGGACTACATCCTAATTCATTCATAAACCCATTGAGTGAAGTTTTACCAGGTCACACTATAATCTTAGCAATGTGTTTGATCCAAAATATTTCAATCATAAGGTTACAACTGTTAGGACAGGTAAAATCCTCCACCAAACCTCCTGGAAACTTTATTATTCATAGAATGTGTTTGCATTTAAGATCAGATACTTATTCAATTTAAAACTGCTAAAAACCCTAACTCCAAACACAACATCTTATATAGACATCCTACTGATTTTAATGGGAGTTTCTACCATAAGACAAATACAATTAGGGTATAACACACATTTACATATTAACATGAAGAATACAAATTCAAGAGATACTGGCTAAATCCTAGGTATTCAAAAATGTGATTCCAATATGAAGGGACCGGAAATTCTTTCCACCCTGAAAAACAATATTTATTTCTCCTCAAATGGATGACCATCAATAGTCATTTTCCCCAGATTCCATTAAAGAAGCACACTAGCTACCTGATTTCAATACATGCACTTGGCATTAAGCTCAAGAGATGATAGCATGCACTCTAATATTAGGATGAAGAAATAAATGAGTATGCAGATGGTCTTTGAAAACTCTTCAGGGAACACATAATCATTCTAGAAGTACTTCCCTAATGGAAACATCCCCTCATTTTTGTAAATTAGTCATCATTGTCTAGGTGGTATTTGTTGATCCTATGTATTCCTAATCAAGGGGGGGAGGGGGACAGAAAATGGCAATCATACAATACTAGTTCACCAAAATAGATGCATTAGTGAAGCAAAATATTAGTAGTCTTTCTGGAATAAGGGAGACCTGTAGTTGCACTTATATCACCAAAGTAACACTAACAATAAACATTTGGGAAATTTGAACTAGGGAGAGAATATTGATTAAAACTGCCAAATAAGACTTTGTAAAGTAATTCACATTTACTTAAATAATTGATTTTACCAGGAACATCTGTTCGTCTTGAACCCATGATTGCAACGGCAGGTGTTCCACTATTTGGAAATCCAGAACAGGACAGTTGTCACCTAATAAAAACAGAGTATTTGGAACTGCAGAAGTCACAGTAGAACAAAGTAACCTGGTCTATAAATAAAACTAAGAGTATCTTAAGGAAACTCTTCATGTTTGTTTAAAGCAGTGGTTTTCAGGCACCAGTCCACAAAGCAGCATTTCCTGCAGGCCCTTGAAAGAGCCAGTGTCGTGCACGCACACAAAAGCCACATCCTGCTCGCCATGGACCAGAGCAGGGGCTCACTATGCTCTCCCTGCAGAATCCCCACTTCCTCCTCGGCTGGAGCCCAGAGAGGGGAGAAACAGCTCAACAGGAGTCATACGGGAGTCATGCCGGGTCTGCCCTTTGGGTGCGCCCCCAAGACTGGGCCTTTTTCTGCTGTTGGAAATGTTGGGGAGGGGTTGTGCTGAGAGTTTTCTCTCAGCCAATCTGTGATGGTGTGGATGGGGGTCATTGTATTTCATTATCTAACCTTATGAATGTTATTGTATTACCTTTGCTTGATCTTGTATTGCTCTGCTGTTAAAGTATTTGAATTTGTATTTGCTAAGACTATAGTACTGCATTTAGATTGATTTTGTATTTTGCTATTGTAAATTTTTGATCAAATATGCTTGAAAAGAAGCAACAGCACTTTCTGCAGCAACCTTATTTGAATTAAATATTACTCTAAAAATTCCAGTTGCATTCAATTTAATTTCAATATTTTATTTTTATTAGCATTTTTACTACCATGTTTCTGGTTATTTTAGAGAATTTTCTTTCTTTCTTGGTACTGTATTTAAAAAAAACTAATACACAAAATACTATATAATGGACATGATGTTTCTATTTCTGCCTCAGTGGTCCCTGGAATAATATTTCTATTTTTGCCAGTCCTCAGCTGTAAAAAGGTTGAAAACCACTGGTTTAAAGAACAAACACTGGTTAACAATTATCTTGAAGACCTAAGTGAAACTGTACTCTGAAAGTACACTCTATCTAGAAATTAGTTTGAGTATCATCCTAATTAAGATTTTATCAGGAAAAAAACTAAAAGATCTTACCACAAGTTATGATGAGATAAAGATGTCAAAAAGGACCATTCTGCTGCTGAGGTTGAAATTAGCAAACCATCCCCACGAGCTTCCATGCAGATAGACTGACAAAAATTCAGAAGCAAGAACATTCTTTACTAAACTAAAGTAATAAAAGACACTCAATGTTTGCCTTATTCAGCCCTACTAGGCATATTCAAAATGATTTAGAGGGAATATTTGAAATGCTTCCACGTGAGCACTATGTAATTTTTGAAGAGGCTCTAGCTAGTTACCAGGCCAACTATACCAAATAAACCTGGGCTTGTTTAGACTGCAAGGTATCTGTAAAAACACATAGCCTACATATGAAGAAGTTAGCATATTAGTATTGCAGTTACAACACAGAGAAATAGGGCATTATTTAAACATTCACCTCCACATATCAACCAGTATATAGTCATCCAGGAATCCGAATTTCCACCTGGTTTCATGCCAGTCTGAAATTCACCACTCAATTATAATTAATTCAAAAGGTAAGCTTGTCATTTATCTCACAATGAACTTGCAATCTGTACAATTTAAAACAATAAAGCATTCACACAATAATACTGTAAGAGTTAAAATAATGAAGCAATTATATAATTTAAAAGGCAACTTCATACCCTTCTACCCTTTTCTAAGCCAAGAAAAGTCAGGGCCAACCATAATTCTGTAGGGTGCAATACCTGGCATGAACCTACCTCTATGTTGTGCTCACCATTTAAGGCCCTCCTCCAAGGGAAGTGCACCCTCCATTATAGAATGAATTCCCCAGCAAGGCACAGCCAGTGCCAACATTAGCTTCTCAGTGCTAGAAGGCCACCTTTTCTCAGGCATTTGGCAAAATATAAGTTTTTAAAACACGTCATAAGATTTTTTTATTACAGGTTGTTAAGGTTGTTGGGAGATTGTCTGGTTTATATTTTATATAGTTGCACCCAGTATCTGCTTAAATGTTTGTATGTACGCTGTTTCAATCCTATGTACAATTTAAGACTTTTAAGCTCTGTAAGCCAACCAGAGCATTTGGTTATTGAGCAGAGATGTAATGAATGAATGAATTCTACAGCTTTGGAGAAACAGGAGATAAGGCATCTTTCACTCCTGACTGATAAGCCTGCCTATGGCAATGGCTTTCTCAGGAGATCCTCTCCTGTAGATTTCAGCAACCCAGCAGGTTTACACTGAGATAGGCAGTCCTTTGGATAGGGCAGCTCTTAAACTATCTGAGGGTTTGAAGGTTATATATTCAACATCTTCAGCTGAGCCAGAAAACTGGCAACCAGGGTAGGTCTTTCAAAGCAAATTATAGTCCAAAGAGCATGCACTAGTTAGCTACTTAACTGCCACAATTTGCACCAATTGAAGCTTCATCTATGCATCATCCTGTTCTCCCCAGGAGGATTTCCACAAGGGAAACTCAGTCTGATCACATTCACATCCCCACTTCACTAAAATTATCGGGCTGAGATGCAAGTAAAACAACCATTCCCTAATTTGCTTCCATGTTTCTTCCCTACCACCACTGCTGCCCCTGCCTAAATATTCCATGCAAGAATCCTCAAACATCCCTTCAACTGCATGACTGGAAAAGAAAACCATCCAAAGAATACCCACCCCCTCAACCTCGCATTTTATCAATTTTCATGACGTAAGAGAAGCAGAAAGGCACTAAAGATGCCATTTCAGGAGAGAATGTACAAAGACACGGCAGAAGGGAGGAAGGGTCGTCCAACAAAATGGCCACATAGTCCTCTCCGAACGCCCACAAATCGCCTCGCTTAGGTGCGTTTCAGGCGGGCAGCCGAGGAGAGGCGGCCGCTTCAGCGTCCACCACAAACAGCGTCTTCAGGCCAAGCCGCCGCCCCCTCCGAGGCCTTTCCTTCCAGAAAAGGGGCTCCACGTCAGCTTCCCTCGGGCAGGTAGCCGGGAAGGGGCGTGCAAAACGAACTCCCCGCCACCCGAGGGGGTAAGCCTCCGTCCACCATCCTCGGCTGCAGCCTCGCCTGCCCAGCTCAGCCCCAAACAAAACCGCTCCGGAAGGCGAGGCGAGCCCAGCCCTGCCTGACGCCGCTTGGCGACCGGCCAGCCCTGCCCCTCCCCTCCGCTCGCCGTAAACAACAAGGCCCCGCGGCCGCAGCCCTCGCTCGGCTCCCTTTCGCGTACCTGTCTTGGGCCGCCCGCAGCCCCGAACTAGGCTCCCCCAGTACTAGCAGGCCCGCTGGGGCCGCGAGTCGGGCGAAAGGTGCAGGCGGAGCAGGCCGCCCGCGAGCAGGCGCCGGTCCGTGAGGCTCGGAGACGCCATGGCGCGCACCCAGCCGCCAAGCAAAGCCCAGCCGGCTGAGAACCGGCTACGCCGACAACAGCAGCACTGCCTACGCGGCGCCGACAGAGGGAGCTCCATAAATAGACGCGTGGTCTCGCGAGAATTGATGGGCGATATTGTCGGGGTGGGAGGAAAAAAGTGGCGCTTGCTCGAAGCCGAGTTTGACTTTCTCCAGGTTTCGTGGGCGTTTCAGTTTGCAAAGCGATGACATGGTGCGGATGGGGCTTTTGTGCTTCGTTTTTTACTGACTATACTGTACTCTGCGTGTATGCTTATTATCCAGCATTCACTGGGTGCCTGGATCAGTGTGACGTGCAATGGTGCGGTCACCTTTATATTATCTGAACTGAGATCACCGGGATTACACATCTAGTGATAACATTCGTATGCGTTCATGTGTAATTTGAGACAGCAGAAAACCCTGCAGTTTATAGCATTCCTCAGCCAGGATGGGAAATTCTGGCAGTTTTATTCCTTTCTGTTTAAGCATGTTGGAGATCGTATCCTAAATTGTTCTGGGAGGTGGGGGAGAGAGAAAGAAAAAAGGACACACTGTACATGATCACTATACTAGGTATGTTTATTGAGTGTCCGTGCTGCATTCACGGCAGATTTATGTGAAAAGCAATTTCATCATAATTTATTATCCAGTGTTAATCCTAGTTAGGATAGACTATGTAATATTGAATGAGTTCCAAAACACTTGGTAATAAAGATCCTTGATTTGATTGTGTCTTTGCTAAGGAAGAGAGCTCTCTCTTTTACTGAACTTGATCAGCAGCATGGATTTACTGGAAACAAAAAGTGGAGGGAGAGATGGCTAAAGTAAACCTAGATCACAAAGTGCTTTGAAAGCAGTTGTCTTCATTTGGATGAAAATTCCACTGATTTCAATTAGATTCATTCTAGGGTAGTTTTTGTCCTTATGAACATTTGCCAGAATTGGAGGAAATAAAGTCAGAAAAAAAATCTTAGTCTTATTGCAGTTTATGCCACCAAAGGAATAAGGTCTTTAAGTGTGCCTCATGACCTTAGTTTCATTCCTTTCTTGTGCAATGTGTATGTGCACAGTATGACTCTATGAGCAATGAGGAAAGGTGGTCAACGCCATGTTGATTGCTGCATTTGGCAAGGCTGCACATGCGTACATTGACCTTCTCTGCCAGTGTCTAAGATGAAACTGATAGCACACCAAAACAAAACATGCTGATAATCATAGGAAAAACAGAAGGAGAAACAGAAGTGTATCCAGTGTTGTGCAAAAATTTGGCCTAGAGGTCAAAAATTAAGCAGATTTACTCACAGAATTCTGTGAAGCCACCAGTCTGTTTATTGCAATACTTCAGTCAACCGATCAGACAACTGTACCCCTGTATATTGTTGGGAAAATCCAATAAATCTTTATACAGAAAGGTTGCTTAGATGTGCCTTTGTAGTATAAAATCCAACCTGCTCCTCTTGCCCAGGAAGAATCAGAATTCCAAGCCAGACTCTTTTTTTGCTCCCTGAAGCATTGTTAGTCATACGTTCCTTTAAGAGACTGGGCCTCTGCGCTTGCCTAAGCAGCTGTTACATTTCCTTGCAAAGTTATTCCTCTGTGGTATGTGGCTCCCAAGGAAAGCTCCTCAATGTCTGTTCTGCTAGCAGCCAAAGATGCTCTGACTGGTTTTTCTTGTCGTGCTGTGATCAGAGTTGCTTACATGTTCAAGCTCACACTCAGGACCTCTAATGATCATGTGCCTTTCTGATTATCATGCCAATGTTCTGTAATCACCAGTATTTGCTATACTATTGTGTTATGTCCCTCTGCAGATTTCTCACATTGTCTTGACTATGAATATGTTATGTACCCATTACTCACTCATCATCTGCCTTGCTCCTGTGTATGTGACTCAAAACCTGTAAAACACTTTGTATATGTTCTGGAATTCTGAAGCTGGTTGGTGTAACTCTACTGAACTGCACTGTTGTAGGTTTGTCTCTGCAGAGGGGTTTTTCCTGGACGTTCTCACCAATAAAACTGCTGAGGTTCCTAAAATAGAAGTCTCCCTGTGGAAACAAGCATACATTCTCACGGGCTGCTAATCCGGGACTTCCTGACAATATCACCACCTGTTAAATATAGAAGTCAAATAGACAAAGTTGCGCTCTTGCTGCCAAAACAAGACCGGGTACAGACTGTGGTAGTGACCACTAATAATCAATATCAGAATCAAAGTAAAGTTGAACAAGATTGTTAACAAAAGCATTGTGCCAAAATATAACCTAACAGCCTTAAAGAATCAAAAATCCACATAAAGAATAATTTGCATTATTCAACTCAATTGAGCATGAGCTAGAAGAACTGTGGAATGAAACCAGGGGCATTAGTTGGGAAGAATGCAGAAAGACAATTCTTGTAGCAAAAAGAGAACAAAAACAAAAACTAGATGGATGAGGGAAGAAACACTCATAACTGCTAAAAACAGACAAGACGTAGGTAACAAATAGAGCAAGAATGCCGAATGGAATTTTTCAGAGACTGTCATGTAGAAACAAAAAGAACTAATACAACAATCAATGCAAAGAAATAGAATAATAAAAGAAGAAAAACAGGCGACCTCTTCCAAAAGATCCAAAGAAATCAAAGAGAAAAATCAAACCTGGGTTGAAGATGCAGAAAAAGCAACAGGAGAATATTGCATCTGACTTGGATAAGATAAAGAAAAAGTGGTAACAATATATGGAAGACAGAATGGGCTGACTCCTTTTGTGAAGAATCCCATCAGACTCCTTTGAAGAAGAACACCATGAGGAAGCTGCAGTATTAGAAAGTTAAATGAAAGCACTTGGAAGGAACAAAACAGGCAGAGTAGATAGGGTACCAATAGAACTATTCCAAGCTGCAGAGACTGAATAGTCCATATCATAACAATAATATATCAAGAAATATGGAAAGCAAAACAATGGCCCACAGACTGAAAACACTCTATGTACATTCTAATCCCCCAGAAAGGAGATGCTAAGGAGTGCAGGAACTGTAGGACCGTTGCACTAATTTTCTGTGCAAGCAAAAAATGTTCAAGGTGTTGCAACAAAGAATTTTATCCTATATGGAGCAAGAAATGCCTGACATCCAAGTCATATTCCAAAAGTAAGAGGCACTAGAGATCTAATTGCAAATATCTGCAGCATCCCAGGGAGCAACAAAGAATTTTAACATCAGTCTATATGCTTTATAGACTACAGCAAAGCCTTTGCCTGTGTGAATCCATAAGAAGATACGGATGGTCCTGAAAGAAAAGGGGCTGCCTCTGTACTGGATTGTTCTGATGCACAACCTGTATTGTGGATAAGAAACTATTGTTATGACAGAATATGGAGAAAGGATATATCTTATCTCCTGACCTGTGCAGTCTGTTCACAGAACATAACATAAGGAAAGCTGAATTAGGAGCAGAAGAAGAAGGAATTAAAATTAGCAGAAGATACACCAGTGAATTAAGATATGCAGATGGTATATTATACTGGCAGAATGCAGCAATTACTTGAAGTAACTCCTGAAGAAAGTGAAAGAAGAAAGTCCAAAAGCAGGACTACAACTGTATATTAAGAAAATAAAAATTGTGACTACAGAAGAATTACAAAACGTTACTGTCGACACTGAAGGAACTGAAATTTTAAAAGGTTTTGCATATTTTGGCTCGATCATCTGTTCAGAGGGGAACCTCTGCCCCATGTAGGTATAAAACAAACTGGCAACCCTGGTAAGTATGCCTTGAATTGCAGTCTAGGGATTGTGCATTGAAAATAGCATTGCCATCTCTAAATAAATAAGTTTTCACAATCCTATATCATAAAATGCCAGTGCAGGTTGGCAGTTAGAGTGATGGACGTGGGAGATCCAAGTTCTATTCCCCACTTGGCCTTCAGGCTCACTGGGTGACTTTGGGCTAGATCTAGCCTAACCTACCTCACAGCATTCTTGTGAGGAAAAAATGAAAAGAAGAATATGTAAATTGCATTGGGTTCCTTGCAGGGAAGTTATAGGATATAAACATAATAAAAAGAACCTGGTATCCCCTATACCTGATGTTAAAGAAAATTGTGTATTGTGAGAGCATCTGACCAAACAAATGAATCTAAGAGGCTTTTTGCTTTAGTAAAATTGATTGTTCATTTGAATGCCTTCCAAAAGACACAAAGGTGCAGGCAATTATTTAAGGACACTCATGGTAGTTTATATTATGCAGTATATTTGAAACTCAAGTATGTCTGGCTGAATTCACTAATAAAGACAAAGCATTCCTGACATGGCTTATAATTATGTGTGAATCCAGGAAGCATGGTGAAATGTGGCATGTCTGGTTACATTGCATCTTGTAAACACCCCTGCCTTGAGCTGTTTTGAGCAAAGGGATGGGATAGAAATCTAATAAATAAAATAATTACTGTGAATCACTACAGAAAAACAGTTGTCTGTTCTAGGGTTTCTGCTTTTCAACACTGCTTGTCACGATGTGAATTCATTTACAATGTCTTAGGAAAATCCAATAAATCTTTATAGAGGAAGGTTGCTTACATGTGCCTTTGAAGGTATAAAATCAAACCTGCTCCTCTTGCCCAGAAAGAACCAGAATTCCAAGCCAGGCTCCTTTTTGTTCCCTGCAGCATTATTAGTTATCTGTTCCCTTCAGAGACTGGGACTCTCCAATCAAAAGAGGTGGCTGCCACATTTGGTTGCAAAGTTAATCCTCTGCAAAATGCAGGAACTTTCCCAAGGAAAATTATTTATGTCCATTCTTCTGTTAGCAGCAGGTTTTTCTTGTCATGTTGTAATCAGAGTTGTTTACATGCTCAAGCCCACTCCCAAGACCTGTAATGATGTATGTGTCTTCCTGATTGTCATGTCAATATCCTGTAGTCATTGATTTTTGCTGTACTATTGTCTCATGTCCCTCTGGAGATCTCTCACTTCGTTTTTATCTATGAATACATTATGTACCCATTATTCACTCGTCATCTGCCCTGTTCCATGTATGTGACTAGAAGCCTATAAAACACTCTGAGTATGTTTTGGAACTTGTAGCTGGTTGGCACACCTCTACCTGGCAGTGCTGTTGTAGGTTTGTACTCTTCAGAGGGGTTGACCTGAGTTTTCTTACCAAAAAACCTAAGGTTTGAGGATCCAGGTGTACATTTCCATGGCTGCTCTTCCAGGAGCCCCTGCCAAATGTTTTGCTCATATTTTCTCCATTTCTGACAGTGAGTTTGGTGGCAAGAGCAGCTGCGGTCACTCCAGCCTCTTTTTCACGGTCCTGTTCGCCTAGCAACAACTGACTTGCTGGCAGACAGGGTGCTGATTGGTTGTCTCTGCGGTCCCTGTCTTTCCTCCAGGTGTGCACCCTCCTAATGCCTGGCTGGATCACCAACCTACCGGCCAGATTGCTGAGAAGCCTGTCCTGCCCATGTGGCACAGCCATGCTGCTGCCTGCTGCTGCCCCCTCTTGTGGGAAGTTGCACTCTCCCCTCTTATATGAAGTCAGCATGACCCTAAAATGCTCTCAGTAAGACCTGTCTGACACACAAGCATCTTTCCAGTGCCAAGTTAAAACTTACTTTTATTCCCAGGCATATGAAGGGCTGTTTAATGCATTCATGTGTAATTGTGTTTGTAACTGATATTTTACAGTGCAATCCTGTACCTGTCTACTCCATAGTGAGTCCTATTGGGTTCACGGAGAGCTCCTCCCAAGTATGTGAGTATAAGATTATTCCAAATCTTTCATTTGAGCCCCAAATCTCTGTGAGGTCATCTGTGCCATCACCCTGCTGTTTATGGAACACTTGATGAAATAGTGGAAGAATAGCCCTGCCGATCTCCCTTCCATCTGATCCCCTTGGATTAGCCAGAAGTTTGCCCACATGGGTTTCTCCTCTTGGCTGTCTCCATTTCTGAGCATGACATTGTTTCTGAAATCAAATGTGCTCCACACGACTGTCTGTTCACCCCATTAAAAAATAGGGAAGTCCTAGCAGAAAGGCTGTTTTAAAAATGTTAGTGCATGCAAAATAGCATATGTGCATTTCTGTGGGGAGGTTTTTTCCCCTGTGGGCCTGAGCCTGGGATCTTTCTGGGACCTAGCATAGCCCTTGAAGTCACTTAACTCAATGAGTGCTACTTCTGAGTAGACACAAATAGGATTTCACTGTTTTACAGAGTTGCTGCATTTCAGGTCTAGCTTAAAGTTTGTATGTTTTAATTCTTGGACCTTTCTGTTGAGAACTCTCAAACAACAACAACAACACACCTCATCTTATACAGATACTCAGAAATTCCATGGATTTCAATGAGATCTACTGCATGCAAGAGATCTTATTCCCTAAATAAGTGTGTTAGATCTTCCTTTTTAGGCAAAGTGTTGTGTGGATTTTAAGAAAACAAAAGACATTCTATATATTAGGGAACAGGGATATCATCATCATCATCATCATCATCATCAGGTGCTAATCTCCTTGGAATAGTTTATAACCATCAAAACCTGATGGATGGGTGTTATATAGTTCAACCTTGCTCAGGCTGGTGTTCTCCAGATGGTTAAGACTACAACTTCCACCATCATTGGCCATACTGACTGAGGCTAATTAGAGTTATAGTCCCAACTTGGGGAAAGTTAATATGGATAACAAACAAAAGATACTGGCTATGCTAGTCTGGGGGAGAGAAAGTGGGGGATCCAAAATCCAGAGTTGGGCAATATCTTTATTAGGACGTACCAAAATACCACAGTGTGCAAGGTTTGCACCAGGTCGGCAGTGCAAAAAACAAAGGCTTCTACCACTTAACCTGATGAAAAATTCTGAACTTGCAGCTATTGCGGACCTTGCTTAGAGTGACGAGGGTAAGTATCCTGCGCAGGTTTAGCCAAAAGAAAAGATCCCACGACTCCCGGCGCTTCGGCAGCCAGCCCCGGTCCTGTTCTCTGTCTAACCATGGATCGAATCGCGCCGCAGCCGCCCCGCTGGCGGGGCAGAGGCGGGCAAGCAGAGCGGGCACGTCCCCTTTAAAACGCCGCGTGACGTCAGCGGGGCCCGGCCTCTTTGCAGTTTGCTGTCACCGGCCGGAAAAATCTGAGGTTCCTTCGTTCCAGCGCGGCTGAGTGGACGCAGCACCGCAGCTGGGCAGGGAGGCGAGCCGCGAGCGGGGAGGGAAGACCGGGGCCCCCGCCAGGCCCGGGAGAGGCTGCGTCGCGGGGCGGCTTGCTCCGCGGCGCGCCCGGCTGCGGGGCTGGCGCTGGCCCATGGCTCCCGGCGGCGCCTTCAGACACCTGAGCCTGGCGCTGGGAGCCGCAGTAGCCGTCCTGGGCTCGCTGCTTTGTATCGCCTGGAAGATCTACTTCCGAGACGTCGGCGACAGCTGCATCGGCGGGAAAGGACGCTGGAAGCAGCGGCTGGAAGCGGAGCTGAGTGAGACCGCTCCGAGCGCGGGCAAGGTGAGCTGCGGCGCGGCGCTCCCGCTGAGACTCGGGACAGATGCTTGGTATCGCCGTCGAGGGAGCTTTTACGCTGCAAGTTTCAGATAGATGTTAGTTATGCAGGTGATTACTAACGCTGCTAGCATGCGTGCAGATCGGAGGCAGTCTTCCCGATTCTATTGTTTGAATCTTATTGCAAATGTGCCACATAGACTCGGGCCAGCATTCCCACAGCTGAGCCGATGTATTCACAGCGGGGGGCGGTAGAGGCGGACTGAAAAACCCCGTCCAGTAGAAATAAAAATAGATGTCGCTCTAGGACTAGCTGACAAATTAACAGGTCAGCAGCTCCAGATGACTTACGCCCAAGCAAGGCTGCAAGTCTCCAAAGTGCAATTGCTGACCAAAAAATGCACAGCTTATTACTAAAATTTAACTTAACCTACTTACTGGAGACTGGAAAGTAGTTTTACAAAATAATCAGGGGAGCCAGGAAATAACAGGCAAGTTAGCCTAATGTCTTTCCTAGGTAAACCCATGGGATGTAGGATTAACGATAGAATTACTGAAATAAAGTTGAGGACTCTGGGACCTATGGGAAAGACACTCAAAATGCTGGGGATCTCATTCTGAAGGGTGGGAAAGGAAAGGAACCTGCCTCCTTTTGTGAGCAAAGCTCACTTGCAGTTTTGCTTTCCTTTGAGAGCTTATCTTGCAAGAGCTTTCAGGAAAAGTGACAAAAAATAAACCTATTTGGAGCTTCACTGAGTCATTATCAAGGGCTGATTCTTCTCTGAGGTTGAAAAAGATGGACTCAGCCACCAGGGAGATCCTCAGGTGTTTCACAGAGTCACTGTTTTGTTATTTCTTGTTACTGTTTGTTTTTAGGTGTTTTGAACTTTATTTTTTCCAGATTTTACATTTGACTGTATTTTTAACCATCTCTTTTTATGGTGCAAACCACCCAGAGTGCTTTGGCTGTGGGGATTTCAGGAAGGGGTTTTCCAAGCCCTGCTTGGAAACGCCAGAGACTGAACATGGAGCTAAGCATATGCAAAGCATGCACTCTCCCTCCATGCTATGGCTTCTCCCAAAAACCAGGTTTATGCACAACCTGTGCATGAAATCTGATGTCACAATCCTCTTGGCAGCTAACCAGCAATGAACCTGTCAGCTGTGAAAGACCTGCTGCAATTGCATCATTGCTTACCCTAATTCCCAACTCTTCTCTTTGCAGCCACATTCCTGCGAGTATCAGGTTTTAGTTCTGGGCTTAGATGGGGCTGGCAAGAGCAGTATTCTTCATTATGTCTGCAGTACAGAAGCCAAGAAGTGCATCACTCCCACTCATGGCTTCAACTCAGTGCAACTGCAGGACAGTGGCCTTCACATGGACCTGTTAGAGGGTAAGTCTGACCATAAGTTCAAGGCACAGGCTGGAACAGAGCAAGTGGGGCGGCCTAGGAATGGTTTTGCATGATCTAGGAAACATGGGCCAGGAGCTTTTTCTGGCCCATCCCACCACTCATGGTAGCATGTTTGGGAAGGGGTTGGGGTAGACAGTGGATAGTGAGAGCCTTGATGGTGAACTGAACTTATAGTCTCCTCTATCAGGGAGAGAGTAACACCTATCACTCTGGGCATTTTTGGTTTTTTTCCATTTGAACAGTGCCTGTGTGGTTTTGTGACAGGAAGCCCTTTAGATTTCAGAAGGAAACTAATTTGAAGCCATGCTTCCCTCTTTAAATCTACCTCACTCTTCAGTTCTTGGCAGAAAACATGCTGTATACACAGCTTCTGTGAGTGTTGACTCCAGTTCTTTGTTATTTCAGTTGGTGGCAGCCAGAATCTACGTTTCTACTGGAACCAGTACCTGAGCAAAGCCCATGTTCTGGTTTTTGTAGTGGACTCTGCAGATGGCCCACGCCTTCACATGGCCCGGCAGGAGCTTCACTGCTTGCTAGCAGAGGTTCCTCAGTTGCCTTTGATAGTATTGGCTAACAAACAGGTGGGTCTCTTGGCATCTTTTCTCTATGAACATTTTCAAGGGTGTGCATTGGTTTTCCTCTTAAAGGCCACACTCTCTTGTAGGTAAACTGTTAGGGGCCTAAATCAGGGGGCAGGACCAAACCCAGCAGCAGGTAGAGCCAGAGCCAAAAGTGAATGGGTGGCTCACCTTTTTTCTTTCTTGACCTCTTTTCTTCCTTCCGTCTCCTTCAGTGCACTGCCAAGGAAAGGGGCAGGTTGCTTTTGCCCTCCTGCCAGAGGTCAGAACTTGCAGCGGGGTTTTGCATGCAGGATTGCATGCAGAAGGCTTTTGAAATTAGAACAGGGCCTGCTAACTGCCCACCTCTGATCTGGAGGCCTGGCTTGTATTGTTGAGACTCCTAAGTCTTCTGGATGGGATTTGTCTGTACTGGTGTGACTAACCATGGTCAGCATTTAGTTCTCAGGGTCTCATTGTCCCGAGTTTAGCATTAAGTGTAATTGTTTTTTCCCACCTCACTTGACATGCCCAACCTTATCAGGTGAAGGGTGGAAGTAGGTATAAAATTCGTAGCAAAATAGGGGAAATGACTTTGGGGGTCACTGCTCAAATGATGGTCTGTACCCATTGCAGGACAAGAGTGACGCACTCAGTGTGGCAGAATTACATGAGGAGCTGGCTTTGCATACCTTGAACGATCAGAGGAAGTTCTTTCTCTTGCCCACAAGTGCTACGTATGCTGGCCTGGCCACTGCAAACAGCGTTCTCCACCTGAAGAGCAAGCTGATCAAACTTCTTGCCCAGACCTGATCGTTCTTCCAACTTCTCAAGGACATTTGAGCCAGATGAACTCTTCTCCGTTACTTTCCTCCTTGCAGCAACTACTTCAGATCCTGCTTCAGCACTGTCCAGGATCTACAGACTCTCTCAACTCAAATAAGTGTCCTTGTTACCTGGATGCTCCAATCCCTTGCAGAAGGGAAGCCCAGCTGCCAACGGGATATTGGATACAAACTCTACTGCTGTGGGTAAGAAGGAAGCAAAATGGAAGCAAAGTCCACTGCTCATGGGGCCAGCACCAGTCTAGGGTGTTATGGGGTGGCTTCTGGCTGCTGTTCATCTCATTTAAAATACTGTCTTAAGGAACTGAAATTTTAATAGATGCACCTTAAAAAAGTTATGGGACCTACTGCTACCACATCCATAGTAACAAATAGGAAGAAAGCACTGAACCTGGCCTCTGACATCTCCTGTATGAAAGGGGTGGAATACTCCATCCCTTGCTATCCTTTGGGAATGTTGGAGGGCTAACTTTGCCCTGACTGCCGTTAGTAGGGAATGGGCTGCACTCTCTCAAGCTGGCTGGAGTAAAAGCTAAGACTGGGAGTTCTTTAGCATCTGGGCAGCAGAACGTGTGTAAGCAGTGATTCTGGGAAATTACCCCAGAGCAATGCTAGCAGCTTTTGTTGCCCCCTCTCCAGGACATTGGGTGTCCTTGTTTAATAGCCATTTCTTGTTAGGCTAAGCATGTTAGAGCAACTCCTACTTGGAAGCAGTTTTACTGCCAGAATTACTTTTGACCCGATCATGCCAAAGTAAAGTCAATTCCCAACAAACTGGTACCCTCTATCCCGGGGGAGGCAACCCGGTGACTTCCAATGTTCTGAACTACAGCCTCCATTATCCCTGGCAATGCCAAGCTGTGGCTTATGGGAGTTGCAGTCCAAGACATGGAGAGGGCACTGACCTACCTACCTCTGTTGTATCTCTCCGATGTGCAATAGATGCTTTCTTGCCCACTGCTTCTTAAACAATACCTTCAGCAGGCCTATGAAGGCTTGCCCAGGGGGAACAAGGAATTGCTGCAGAGAGGGTTTTCGACATCCACACAGGCTTCTGCACTAACTTAACAGAACATTCCCTCTGTTTGGGCTTTTGTTTGATCTGGTTCAGGGGTTATCAAAGTTAGATCATTGGTGTACACTAGGAACTGGAAACAAAGAACAGGCTGCCCTGACATGACACAGGTAGGCGCCTTCATTTGGGCTGCCAGTGACAGAGCCTTTCTGGCAGACTTTGGCCTAAGCAAAATCCTTCCTCTGGAAGAAGGAATAACTCTACCCAGTCACCTGGCCAATTACATGCTCTTTCTTAAGCAATATATTTGCTGCTACCTGGTTTTTTTAGGTGCCCTTTTCTTGCAGCAAGAGAATAGAAGTATTGCCTGGGCTTGACCTGGGTTCCTTTTGCAGAACCCGACAATCTTTTTGTCTCTCTGCACCTCCACCGGTACCTGGCCTTATCTGGTTCTATTATACAATACAGGAAGCTTGGTTCATAGCTAGTGGATCCTAGGCTTCAACCCTCTGGTGGGTATGAAATTGATCTCCAGTTGTTTACATGAGTTTTTGCCTTTTCTGTATCAATAAATGTTGTTACTCTCATTAGAAGGAATGTGACTTTGTGTGCCTCACAGCTCAAGGAATCACAAGAAAGCAGCTTCATATAGTACAACTGCAGCTGCCAGGAAGGGCAGAATTCAAAGGCTCTTAAGGTCACTGATCCACACTGTGCAATAAACTCCACCCAGAACTCAAAAGTTAATCACACAGAAGTGACAGAAACATGGTGATTTTCCTTTACGCCTTTATAAAGGCAATAGTCTCAACTCATGCTTACAGATGTACAAAAAGGAGACAATTCACCCTACTGTAAGAAAAATAAAGAGGAAAAACTACAGCTTTCAGACTGGTAGTTTAACATAATTAAAAAAACAAGTTTCTCATGGGAAATAATTATACTCGTTCAAGAGTAACTGAAAACATTTCAGGAGCCATATATCTTTGGCCCAAGGATGTACTAGAACTTCTAAGTCAAACAGAGATGGTAGAATCCTAGTACAGTGGTACCTTGGCTCACAAACGCCTCAGTTCACGACCAAATCGGGTCACAAACAGAAATTTCATAAAAATTTTGCTGTAGGTCGTGAACTCGGCATCGGGTGACAATCGCGAGCGTGCCCGCCTTCCCTGCCCAAGCGTGCCCGCCCCTGCCCCCCACACGCCCACGATCGAGCCTGTCTCCCCCCACCCCCCCGCAGGATCGCTGGGGTGGGGGAATAATGGCTGCAATGTTTGTTGTCACTTTGCTTCACATTTTTGTGAGTAAAAAAACAGTTGCAGAATGGATTCACCTTATTTACATTGGCCCTTATGGGGAAATTTGACTTGGCTCACAACCAATTTGGCTCACGACCAGAGTGCTGGAATGGATTAAGTTCGTGAGCCAAGGTACCACTGCAGTGCCTCCAGTGGATATTATGATTCCTCCCATAAACCTAATTGGCTAATGCCTGTGGGAGGATTACCTGGCTTAGTCCAGTACCAAGTGGAGCACCTCTTCGTGGACCCAGCTTATTAGCTCCCCAAGCATCTGCACAGGTGGCCTCGTCTTAGTATCACTAAGCATAATCAGCATTCTTACCAACCTGCCTCCTCAGTGCCATTCTTGCAGCCAAAGAACATTTCCCTGAGGCTTGTATCTATGTCACTGGACAAGTTCACACATCACCCTGCAAATAGCTTTGCAGTGCACAAGCTGTTAATGAAGCAACCCTGAAGAAATGACAAACTACTGGGCTCTGAGTGCATTATCTCCCATTCCTTGTCTTTTGTCTTCCTACGGCTATCTCAAGTGAAGCTCTCCACTGCAGTTTCCCCGTTTTTCTTCTGGAGATCACATTTCACAATTGGAATTGTCCAGGAAACACACTGGAAGGGCTGTCACTGGTTTGTGACTGTTTAAAAAAATCGCACCCCCAATGTGTGCATGTAGTCAGGCTGGTATGAGGAGCTGCAGAGTTCCAAAGAAGTTTGGGTTTTGACAGCCACACAGAGTAAGTATAAGGGCTCACGGCTGGCAAAAGGGACACTAAGCTAGTGACAGTTGCTCCACCATGCAGCTTGATCAAACCTACTGCTTTTTGGTGCAGCAAGCAGAGGCACTGTGTCCTATAACTATGTTTTGTTTCTGGCACAAGAGTTGGAAAATAGTTTATTTCGAATAGGATCAATCCAAAACCAAAGGAAATACAGAAGCTGAATGCAGCAAGGGCTTTCTACCGGAGCTCTTGTCCATATTCCTATCTGCATAGACATTACGCCATCTTTGCCTCAAAGAACAGTTTATATGTGCCAAATGTCAGTTCCTGAGCACCAGTCACTCGACAGCAAGACAGCATCTATATCAATAAAAGTGTGGCTGCTTCTGCCAACTTCTTTAGGAAATAATGTCATTGTTCCTCCATCTTTTCCTGCTGTAAAGAAGCAGTGAATGCCTGGTATTCCTCAGGATAGAAGCGTTTATATACATTAATCTTCCTCTTTATTTGCTTTGGTGTGTCTTGGTAATAGTTCTTCTCATCACGAGCCATGGCCTAGAAAGTAAAGAGAGGAATGAAGGCTTGAAAGTGCAGGGAGCAACACCTATTAATTACCTCAGAATGCCTCTCACACCTGGAAAACAAACAGTTGACTTAATGGCAAGCATCAGGCAGAGGCCGTACAAAGAGTGACCAAAAAAATCACAGGAGTGCAGTCAGAAAGGGAAGATATATTCAGAGAATGGAGATTACAAGTAGTCATATATCCTGTTGGGCAAGAAGCGGCATACAGGCCAGCACAGCTGGAGAGGCGAAGCAAGAGGATGGGCCATGAGGACATACAGCTGTTCAAGGTGTTTGGAAAATGGGAGATAGGATTGCTTGCAGTTGCAAACATTTGACCCAGAGCTCTCAGCCTCCTGCAGCTCCTAGAAAAAGAGGACCTACCTTGTAGTTTTCACCATGGTTCCGGATCATGTGTTGAACATAGTCTATAAGGTCCCTGGAGAGAGTCTCTGACTTCTTTTCTGGGAGGCTGGCTTCAGCTTCCAACTCTAAGCAAAATGAAGAAAAGGTAAGAAGGCAGGGAGAACTATTTGCTCACCCCGAAAGCCTGTTGTAGTAGAACAGCAGTGGCTAGACTGAACCAGTAGATCTGCTAATACTGTGTTCTAATAAATATCTTATCCTAAATCCTAATATTTACTTTGGCTGATTTTGAAGCTGGAACATTAAATCCAGTTGGTGTGGTGACAATATCAGGGGCACTGAACCCCTTTCAGTCTGAGTGCCAAATTCCATTCCAGAGGACCTTTTGGGGGCTGCATTCCACTGACAGCTGGGTCCAATGGCAAAGAGGGTGGGGCTAAAAGTGCAAGAAAGACCATCCTGTTCTGGCTTACAGCTTTTACAGCCAGTCACCAGTATTTAAGAGATGCATTTCAACCTTTCGGAATGGAAGTAAAAACTGTAGAAAAAGCCAGGAAACTCCAAATGATTGATGGTCAAGTCAAACAGAGAAAGGCAAAGGGAGCTTAAGTCATGTGGCCAAGCCATGCTCTATATGCAACAGGCACAAATCCATCTTTGGATTTTAGGAAAAGACAGGAGGGTTTTCAACAGAAGCAGTAATTTACATGATACAACAACATATAAACTCTATACCATAAAAGCTATGCTGGGTATCTTGAGTGTCCACCTGATAACGAGAGCTGCCAAATCCAAAAGAATTGCGTTTAATTTGAATGGGACAAATTGAAAGGCAACTGAGGCTCTTGGGAACTACATTTCAGTACTAGATAATGGCTACTGCTCTGAGGCATTAGATCCACACTGCAAACTGCCAGTATGAAGGCAATACCAACCATTTAGGACATATGGCTTCCGCACATGTTTCTTCTTTGGCTCCTGCCCATCAACTTCCATTTTCATCACCTGTAGTTTAAAAGATGTTGTGTTATACACAAAGACTTCTATCCATTGCACTGTATACCTTTTAATCTTTAAGAATTTTACAGTGTCACTGGCTACTTGCTTAATGTTATCATGCTGCTTTATGTCTTTTGGGCAAATGATCAGCCCCATTCCACTCAACTTGTCTTTTCAGTAAAGTACTAGTTTTATACTTTAGTCAGATCATTATTTCAGAGAACAAGCTATTGATGGAATAGCTTCCACAAAACAAATGATCACAACCCTTTATCTTTCAGGGTAGCCTAAGATGTCGATGTGATTGTATTCCCTTCCAAGAGCACCACAATATGAGTATAAATTTTTATTAGATTAGATGAAATACCAATTCAGAAACCAATCAAAAGTTATCCACCTCCCCGCCTGATCCCTCTATTGTTTCAGCATGAAGGCAAAACAAGTTTACAGAAATCTAAAGTCTCACATTTTTGTACTTTCCTCAAAGAAGTTGGCCTAATAAAATTACATTTAGTTAATCAATCTCTCTCTCTCTCTCTCCCTCTCTCCTGCGTACTTGCATCTTGCCACATGAAATCCGTTAGAGTTCTTGTTCATGCTTAAATATAGCAATTTTTCATAGGATTATTTTTCAGCTTTTCATGCAGTTTTCATTTTACACACACTGTTTTGCTAAGATAGGATCCATCACCAATGAACTGATATCCAGCCTGACAAATGGCTGAAACTTGACTTCCACTTTCCCAGTTGATTTAAACAACTCTCTTTGGAGTTCACACACACGTACCTGTTGTATTCCCTTTGGAATAGGAATAGCCCTGTTTGGGTCAACAGCAAGGCCCATTTCAGCCAAGTTCTGTGCTACAGATTTGGACCTATCCCAGGCATGTCGGATTTGGGAACTAGAAAACAGTTTAAAAAAATTAATGACAACAACCCTTTTCATTAACACGATGCATCCTTAAAAGGGCTTCTCCCTGTTTCCAACAAGAACTGACACACAATTGCAAAGCCAGCCAGGACATTTTGCTGCCTGATGTAAAGAAACAAATTTCACTCTCCAGTCAAAGCACATACCACCTACAGCCAGTCAGGTTATTTTGGTAATTGTGGGATTTTTTTTTTTTTTTTTTTGCCTCAAGTATCTCTCCCCTTTCCTGGAAGTAAAAAGCACAACACTAAATACAATTAGCTGCTCTTTCATGATACCAAAAATCAGCTACTTGAGGTGGCTAATAAAGCGAACTTACCACTGAGGGAAAAAGCAGTGCTTATTCTGGTTTAAAGACACCTGGCTAAAGAATTCCAGATTATTATATATTATTCTGAGATTGATCCTGCATCTCTTTAACACAAATATGTCTTGATTCCTTTACCTTTTAAAGCCTGTTTGCCTCTTGAAAGTTTTCAGCCTTGAAAAGCAAGTATGATGGTGCCACATCTGAAGCTTCCAGCATAACTTGGCTGAACATTATCATATAATTTCTGACCTACGAGGGGCGTTCAATGTATTCTCGGTATCAGCATGAAGAAAAATAATAAATTGAAATAATTTTTATTTTTCAAGGTAATCCCCCATAACTTAAATACACTTATTACATCTAGAAATTAACTTTTCAATTCCCTATAAAAAAAATACTCTTTCTCCTTGTCTAAAAAATGCGCGTTAATTGCCGCCTTGAGCTCTTCACTGTCGGAAAATCACTTTCCACGAAGATCTTTTTTTAAATTCGAGAATAGGTAGTAGTCACTGGGAGCCAGATCCAGGCTATAGGATGGGTGGTTTATTTCTTCGAAACCACAGTCTCACACAGCAGCCTTAGAGACATGCGCCGTGGGAATGGGCACGTGGTCGTGAAGAAGCAACACACCTGTGGTCAGTTTTCCCCGCCTTTTTTCTTTAATTGCTTCTCTTAAATTACGCAGAGTGGTTGCGTAAGATGCTGCGTTTATGGTTTCACCTTTTTTTGTGTACTCGATCAATAAAATTCCCTTTGAGTCCCAAAACACTGTGGACATGATTTTTCTGGCCGATGGAGTGACTTTGAATTTCTTCAGAGGGTCAGCACCTTTTTTACGCTACTGCATGGACTCCTGCTTACTTTCAGGGTCATAGGGATGAACCCAAGTTTCATCTCCAGTAACAATCCAGTCAAAAATACTCAATGAATCTTCACCACAGAGCTCTAAAAACTCCCTACAGCACTTGACTCACATTTGTTTCTGAGGCACCATGAGCATTCGCGGCACCCATCTTGCACAGACCTTTGAAAGGTTAAGATGGTCATGAAAAATAGTAAATATGGTACCAATGGATAGGTTTGTCATCTGCTAACATTTTGATTTTTATTCGGGTATCTTCCAATACACGTTTCTCCATTTTTTTCACATTTTCTTTCACAGTGGCAGTAACCGACCGGCCCGCCTGAACGAGGGTCGTCTTCAATGTTTTCTCTGCCCCTTTTAAATTCACTTGACCACTTCTGAACAATAGATAATGAAGGTGCAGAGTCCTGGTAAACGGCCACCATCTCTTTGTGAATGATTTTTTTTACTTTCTCCTTGTTTTGTAAGGAACTTAATCACAGTGCGGTGATTGATTTTCTTCAACATTGTCGCATCAGTCATTATGGTCGTCTTTCACTGAGGATTACTAGGAAACTAATGATCACACTTATTTGAAATTTTGCATGTATACCCTCAGATAGTGTCATTAGCTAATGAAATAATTAAATTACCCACATCAATAGCAAATCAACCTGATACCGAGAATACATTGAATGCCCCTCGTATTAACACACCTTGTCCTGGAAAATTTCCAATGGCAATGCCACTTAGTTTGCTTGGCAGTGGTTCAGAGCAAATCCAAAATAATTGACAAGATCCAGCAAAATTTCCACATATCTCAATTGAACTACCATAATTAACAGGTGGTCTAAGTGAAATACATAAAAAAGGTTTGTGCCCCAATTCTGGTCCCTAAAAATGACACATGCTGCATACTTTGACTGAGTTACAATTTTGGGCAATACAAAATTGGTGTCCGGCAACAGCAGGGGGTTGGACCCGATGGCCTCCACGGCCACTTCCTACTATTCTATGATTCTGTGAAAACCGTAATAAATAAAGACTATAATGAAGTATGTGCTCTCACCAGGAGCCGCGGAAAGAACTAACACAGGTTACTTTCCCCAGGCTGAGAGTGCAATCTTATGCGTATCTGCTAAGCTCCCCTGAACTCCCCTTAGAGCCAGGTAAGTGTGTACAGGATTTCAGCTTTAACTTCAGTGCCTGGATAAACCGAAGCAAAGGCGATCAAAAGATAAAAGGATCTACTGTTTCTAGACGGATGCTCAATCCTTTGGCCCTAGCCTGCCGGCCCTGCGACGGCTCCAAAGCCTCGCCGGTATGTTCCAAACGTCTCAAAAGGGTCGGGCGAAGGGAACGACTGAGCGCCCGACGAAGGGGGGCCGCCCAAAGCGTGAAGCTCCCTTCCTTGGAAACCCGGCGGCCGCTTCGCTTCTCTCTCTCAGCCGCTCACCATTTGATTCGCGGTGCCGCGCGCTTGTGCGCAGCCCTATTCAGCTTCTTCCGGTCCACATTATAGTTGTACTTTTGCCGCCGGTTCTTTCCCTTGGCTTTCGGCATCGCAGCAGCTCCTACACCGACCGGACGGCCGACCAGCCCCACGCGGCTCCTACAGCAGGAGGAGGCACCTACGCAGCACAGAGAAGCCCCAGGACCGGGTCGCAGTGGCTGATAGGAATTATAGTTCTCCTTGCCCAGACCACGCGGTTGAATCCCTACTAGAAAGGCTTTCGGTGGACTACATATCCCAGCAAACCCAGGGGGACAATCCGCGCCCGAATTGCATGCTGGCCAGTTCCCGGTTCTTAGCTATTGGCTACAAGGGCATCTCCCGGCGCCGCCATTTCCGGTGGCTGCAGAGAGTCAACGCAGAGGGAAGCCTGCAGTCACCTTGTTTCTTGGGCTCCTGACGCCGGGCACCATGGCTCAGGGCCCGCCGCCCCCGTTTGATCCCAGCCGACCCCCTTTGATTGAGGGCTTTAAGCCGACCGCCTTCAGATTCCGCGAGGAGAGTTTTAAAGACCGGTTCGTCCGCAAGACACGCGAGAACCCCCTCGTTCCCATTGGTGAGGGCTTGGGAAGGAGGCTGAGGGTCTGGAAGTGGCTCCACTCGCAGATCGCTGATCAGGAGAGAGGACAGCGGGCTAAAAAGGATTGGGAGGTTAGATGGGGGTGTTTGTTTGATATGCCGTGGTTCCCGCTGCGCTAATTCAGGAGGAAGCAACCTGATGTTCTCCAGAAGCTTTGAAATGCAGTTCCCGTAAGCCCCAGCCAGCATGGCCGATGGTCAGGGATTATGGGCAGTGTAGTCCAAATAATCAGAATGGCACTAGGTTGTCCTGTCTCTCTTTTAGTCTAGCCCTTCTTAATTGGTAACGATTCAACAGAGAACATGTTTCCCAGTATGGAATATGCAGTATTAGCGAGCTCTTTGTCTACTGAATGGTTGCCTGTTATGTAGCTTTTGGAGGTGCACTTCTGTCTCCAGGAGAAAATCTAGACAGGGAAAATAAGTTAAACTTTAAAGATGGCCTTGAGTTCTGGGGATTGCAAAGCTAATCAGTAGTTCTGTGCAAATAAATAGTCTCCGTGCTTTTAGCACCACCCCATACGCAAATGTTACAAATGAAGCTTTTCCTGGCATGGAGAGAAATGCAAATAAGTTTACTGACTAAATCCTTGCCCAGAATATTCTCAGGAGGTATGGATCCTGGGCCAGGCAGCCATTGCAGTAAGGAGGAAAGGAAAACATTTCAGTAAGGAAAGTTGTAATGAAAGTTGCTGAAGTAGGAATTGTAATCTAAATTTTGAGTCAGATGGATTGTTTGGCTGGAGAGTTGCTGATGAGGGGGTGGATAAAATCCCAAGGGTTTTTAATAACTTTCATTAGAACAGTATCCTTAAATAACAGGTTTTTAAAAATCTTGTGTGAGCTCTTGCTCCACCTATAGCAGGGAGGGGGAAGGTATAGCCCTCTGGTTGTTCCATTGCAATTCCAGTTCTAACATCCCTCACCATTGCTGTGTTGGTCAGGATAACTGGGAGTTGCAGTTTCCTCACTTCTGCCATACACAAATAATTATCTTGATTCCCTGTGTAATCAATTTTAACCATCTAGCTAGAAAGTGTAAATGTGATTACTTAAGTCAATTATTCAGTACATTTACCACTCTGCCTGAGTGGGGAGCACCCATGCAGCTTGGATCCCCGCCCCAACCCCATTTTTGTATGTTGAAATGCTGCAAACGGGATCTAATAGTTCTACCACTCTGACTCTTTTAATTAATAGAATTCTTGTTGGTCTTTACCTTGAGGTCTGTTATAGTATGGGGGGTAATTCAGCATTTGAGCAAAGAGGAGCTGACCTGAAAGAAAAGAACCAAATACTTGTGTTTGAACTGAGGTCTCTTAAACCAAAGCCAGCTGTCTGTTCACAAGACCACACAGGCCTCTGTATCCTCCTTTTGATGCATCTTCCTCTCGTCTTCCTCTTAGGCTGCCTTTGCACAGCAGGAGCCTTGACCTACGGGCTCATCTGCTTTTCGAGAGGCAACTCCCGGCAGTCCCAGCGGATGATGCGGGCACGTGTTCTATCTCAAGGCTTCACTGTTGCAGCCCTACTGGTGGGTGTGGTGGTTACAGCCCTGAAATCGCGGAAGTGACCATGCCACTGGTGTTCAGGAACCACTGACTATCCTGCGTCCTGCAGGGTAGGAATGGGTCTGTCTGCCCTGAGGTGGCACTCACTGCACCTTGCAAAATAATGTCTCAGTGAGACATTGAAAGTGATCATCAGATAGCTGCCAGAGTGTTTTAGGTTTTACGATCCTCTTAATATATTGATTCACCCTTTTCATGGGTGTATACAATTTTTTTTGTTCCCTATTAATGTACTACCCTTGTTGTAAAGTCAGCTTTGCTGACTAGACCAATATCTCATAATACCTGGCATCAATAAAGCTTATTGTAAGTGAGGTTTTTATTACTTTATGGGTGATTTTATTGTTCACTGCACAAGGGAAATGACACACAATGATTACAGGAGCTCAAGGTTGGGTGTGACAAGCAAAATATTTTTAATGTTAAGGAATGCTAGCATTTCTTGCAGTTTAGGTTACTCTTTTTGAAACATAGTCACTCCCATAGTGAAAGGTAGGGTAGATCACGTACCTTTTCCATTCCGTCTGGGTAAATTGCAATTTCTTCCTCCAGCGATTGGGACATCAGCTGGCTATCCAGATGTCAGTTGATTGCAGAGCTTTCACCAGCCCTAATGAGGATAGCAAATGGTGAGGGAAGTTGCAGACGGACAAGTTCTGGAAGGCCACACATTCCCCGTTCTTTGTCCTATCTGGTTCTCCTTGCTGTCCTTGCACATACGAGTTTCCATGTTTTGTGAGTTAACTTTTGCCAACTGGTGTCGCTTCATCATGTATTCAAGTGAGCTGCTCACTGGAAAGGGAGGACATAAGGAGACCATGTGCACACTGGGTCAAATACTCATGTTACTTAGGCTGCAATCTGAGACCCACGTGCGTGGAAGTAAGCCCCATCCAGTCCACTGCGACTTATATTTGAGTAGCCATGTTTAGGATTGCACAGCTCCCTGCATGACGTTTGTCCATGTCCTGCATTCTGCGAGCAACAAAGAGGGTGTGCAATAGAATTTTGACAAGGACATAAACGTTGCTGGTACAAATTGCATAGGAGGCATTACAGACATGCAGTTTGGAATGTATGGTATGTAAGTGAAGACACGTGAAATGAAGTGTGGGGAAAATCTTTTATTTCCATAGTTTTCATGTACAAGTCATAGCAGCCATTGTGATTGCTTTCATGTATCAAGTAGCAGCCACTGGAATTCTTCTGATGTATCAGGTAGTGCTCTGGAACAATTGGACTTACAAGGAAAGCCATGTGGTATCCTAACCAGCCTGTTAACAGCTTATTCAACGAAGTCTTACTCAACAAAGACTGCTAATGTTGTATTAAGCTAATATAGAAAAATTACAGTTTTTCAGAAAAACCTTTCATTGTTCAGTTTTAACATGGTGGAATTGGCTTTGGTCACATTTTCTGCCTTGTAATCAAATGTTAGACCAAGAAAGTCTAATATACAGAGAAGGAAAGGGTTAGTCTAGTTGTCTACTCTGCTGAGGACCCTTGGACATATTTGTCATGCCAGTCCATAAGAAAATGCGACTGCCACCAAAATAGTTTGATGCACTTTGTGTATACGAGTTGTGCTGCCCTAAATTGTGAAGATGATCTGCTTCACTGGATGGAATTTGGCTACCAGCTGAGGAGGAGGAGAATATGCAGTGTTATTCTAAGATTTGGGACTAATGAGGGGAATGGAAAAAAGCCCCTTTTGTGGGTTTGTCTGCAAGGCCAGCTGATTGGATTGTGATCCCACCCACAGAGCAGCTATGGAAAGACTGGAGATGCAGAACAAGTTAAGTCAAATGAAGACTTGGCCTAGCTTTCAACAATACCTGTGGAACTTCGGGCCCAGTACTCTGCATTGTATTAACTGAGCTCTTATTTTGTCATGTTCTCAGCCAGTGCAGTACTGCTTGTGTGACTGATACTTCAGTCTGTTCTAAACTAAAACTACATTAACCTGGGCCAGGATTCCATTGCGGCTTCATCTACATAGGTTTGAATGGCCATTTGTGTTCTGTTTCACATCAACAGTGACTAAAGCAGGCCAAGCAGACTAACAGCCTAGAACCATGTATACTTACTTGGAGGTGAGCCCCATCCTCCTCAGTGTGGGAGCCTGCATCATCTAGCAACAACGGTTTTTCTCAACCTGCTGCCCTCCAGATACACTGAGCTCCAGCTTCCATTATCCCCAGCCAAAGGTTGGGAGTCCAACACACCTGGAAGGCATCAGGTTGGAAATGGCTTTCTGCAACATATCCAGCTACTTTCAAAGTGATGATTCAAATCTGTATTAGTGGCCATTGGAAGAAAATCTCTGCTTCATTTTAAGAAAATCGACTGCTGAAGAAGTATGCCATAGACCAAATGCTAGAAGCTGTCATTAAAAAAAAAACTGGATTGGCTCCTGGCTCTTATTAAAAATGTAGCTTCGAAGCTGACAGTATTTTCATTCTTAAGCTTCCTATGGAGAATGGCTTGTTTTTGCCTTTTCTCCTAAGGATGTAGCCCTAGGAATAAGCTGTACTGGAGGCAAAGCCATCTTCCCTCTCCACAGAGGATTGCTAGGCTACATCCACTCATTTCCTCCCATTTATACGAATCAGAGAAGCATGGAAAGAAAGCATTCTGTGACTCTTTACTGTGTGTCTGGAGTAGTGGCAGTTTATTGATAACAGGTTGTTTAACAATGTCACAGAACTTAAAGCTGGAGTGTTGGAGAGATGGGACAGGACAGCTGCAGGCAAGGCTCCCCCCCCCCCCCCCCCACCGATGCCACCCCAGCTTACTGCTGCCGCCGCCGCTTGGGACACAAGATGACATGATAGTTAGATCCTGGGCCTATTGAATGATTCCAATTAGAGGTGGCTTCTTGCTTCTAGACTCTGGCACACATCACCCTTGGATGTTCAAGGCTGGATGAATGATCCACTTGGTCTCATTTGTCTGTGATGACTGGTCAGACTCCTACTGCTCTTGGCTTTCTCCTCCAGGCTGTGCTCTGAAGAGGCAGCTGCCACCAGTTGGGAATCTGTTCTCCCATGTCACTGTATGGTCCTCCTTCGCCTCCCTTTTCATACATTCTTGAATGTGGACTGCTCACCCCTTTTGATCTCTGCAGGAGTAATGAGTGCCCAGAGGAAGAACCCCTAGAAAGCGAGCCTGTGAGAGCGTTCTGGTTTTCTACCTTTTTGTTCTCTAGCTACAGTGGCCCAGAAGAGGCAGATGCAGGGTGACTGCCACAAAATTTGCACTTCAAGTTGCAGCAACTTTTACCAAGAAGAGTTCTGCTCTTTTGGGTGTTTATATTGCAGGAGTCCCTACCTAAAGTGCCAGAAGTCTACTTCCAACTCTTGGGGTTCTTCATAATCATCTTAGTTGAAGGAACTGCATGTTCCTTTCTCTAGAAGATGCCAAGGCCCAAAGCGACCTTTTCTGCTAACATTAGAAACCAGGGAAAGGCAACATGTGGCATTTTATCTGCTGTTGAACTGCAACTCCCATCATCCCCCACCAGTGATCATGCTGGCCTGGGCTAATGGGCAGTCCAACAGCATGAGGAGGGCCACACCCTATCCACCCCTGCTGTAAACTCTTCATGGGGTGACTTCAATCATGCCACTTTTGCAGGGTGAGGTGCTGGCATGACCCTGCCCCACACCCTAGAAAATCCATCAGTTACCACCTCAGAAAAAATGCTTGGAAGAGATGTCCTCTCTGGAGCAGGAACCTTAGTGTTCATCAGGGATCTCCTCCTTGCAAATATTTCAACTGTGCAAAAATGGCACAGTGAAGTCATTATGCAAAATGATACAATGATGGACTTCCAACACATTAAACAATATACAAACCAAAGTGAATACCCAAACCAGCTCCCTGTAAAACTAAGCTGAGCTAGGAAGTTAACCCAGGATACATAATGGCTGTGCTGAAAGCAATGTTTCCACGGCCTCAGATATGCCAGCCCCAATATACAAAAGTTAACACGGACCTAACAGGCCAGATCTCCCTAACGGACCATGTTTTCCTGGCTTTTCAAAATAGATTCAAAGATGTCGCATGGCCACTGATGACCATTATGCTCTTCAGACATTTACACTGCTGCTTGGCTGACTCCAATATACATTCAGTCAGGGTGAAGAAATCTTGACTCAAGGACCCAGACAACTCTTCACAACACCATCCCCAAAGGAAAAGGGGAGCTATAAGAGAGCTTCCCTTCTGTTAGAGTCTGCATGAACCAGAGAAACTGGCTAGGAGCCAAAGGACCAAGTCTAGAAAAACCATCCCGATGCCAGTTTTCCCAGCCACTCCCAGTGGAACGGTAGCCCTGTGCTAATCCTTTCCCTGCCTGTTAACCAGGCTGAGAAAGCATCCCTGGCAGCTAGCAGTCTGCGAACGCCCATAAACCTCTGCTCATTTAGGGGGTAAATCAGCTTCCAGAACCAAAGTAGGAAGTGCCTATGGCTGCAGTCCTAAGCATGCTTACATGGGAATAAGTCCCAGTGAATACCAAAGCACTTCGTTCTGAATAAACATGCCTAAGAGTGTGCTCTCAGTGATGTTTGAACTGGGTACATGGACACTTACGATGGGCAATGGTAAGAAAAGTGCCTTGGGTTTGCTTCGAGGCCCAAAAGATGCCTACAGCTCTCTTAGCAGGAGATCAGAGAGCAATGCCCTTTGTTCACCAATCTTCCACTGAAAAGAGCAATCACAGAAAGGAAATCCAGGCAAACCCACATCATGTCCCTCCATTTGGTATCTCCTAAGCAAATAAGGAATAACCCAACTTGTGTGAAGGAAGGTGCTTGAGGTCCCCTTGCATAGTCTCCTTATTCATCGCTTGAACCCAAATAGGTTCTTGGATTTGGGGAACGAATTGCATCCTGTTCCATGGAAGTGGGTCTGTCTCAGAGTGTTTCCCGGGGCTCTTCCATAATCGAACACAGCTCTCCATTTCAGTTTCGGTCCGCTGTGTCTAAAGCAGCCTGACTTTTCATCATTATCTTCTCTCCCTTGCGCATGCCTTCCCTGGAAGGGCTTGCTTCCCAGCAGAGATATTTTTCTATCTGTGCTTGGACTGTTTTGCTCTGGCTGGGAAGCACAAGTGCATTCCAACCCTCTACCCAGGCAGCAGCTCTGGAGAGCTGCCACTCGTTATCATGGGGTGAAACATGCAGCATGAGCTGGGACTCAAAACTCAGGAATCCTGCCTTGCAGCCTCAAGCCCAGATTTGGGGGTTGCTTCCTAGGCTTGGGACAAAGTACTGGAAAGGTGAACTGTGTCTTAACTGTGATTCTGGCCAGGTTTGCCGGCCGGGCCCGCAGGACCCAGCAAGCCTGTGTGTGCCCCAACAGTGAAATGGGGAGTGACCTTTCCTGAAGGCAGCAAGTCTGGGAATCAAAGAGGGCAGTTGTCCGAGGAACCACGCCATTAATAAATATGTGTAAAAAGAGACCAATGCACCCTTTAAGCAAAGTAAAATCACGGGGAGGGGTACAGGCAGCCACCCAGCCGGAGTGACACAAACGTATGAAGGAGAGAGGAAGGGGCAGGGGTGGGATGCTTTGGTGTCCCCCTCCTGATGGCCATCTAAGCCTAATGTGCTGCAGTCAAGCTGCTGCCCAAAGAGCAACCCACATCCTCGCCCCAGCCCCAGCCCCAGCCCCAGCCCCGTTCAGCTCGGCTAGCGGGCCAAGGGCGTCTGTTTGAGAGAGATCAGCACTGAGCGCATGCGTGAGACATCCTTGCACTGCTTGCTGCTCTTGGGGTTGAAATCACAGAGTTGGGCCACTTTCTCCCATTCGGTGCCAGGTGTCTCTTCCTTGGACTCCTTCAGGAAGGCTTCCTCTGAGGCTCTGCAGAAGGAGACAAGTTGGCAAACAGTCAGGCCAAGAACATAAGCAGGCAAGGAGACAGGCCAGCCAGCCTGCTTGCCTCAACATAGACAGGAAAGCTCCCAAACTAGCTATTTCCTGCATGGAAGGAGGCCTTCCAAGTTCCCAGTGCCCTTCTCTTCAGAGGGAGTGTTGGAGATTGCAGATCTTGCAGGACTATACACAGGGAGTCCTTAAGACAGTGGACTTCTAGACCAGGCTTCCACAAGGTGGTGTCCTCCAGTTTTGGGCTACACCTCCAATAACCCCATACCTTTAACTATGCTGGCTGGGGCTGATGGGAGTTGCAGTCCAAAACGTCTGAAGGGCACCAGGTTGGGTTGGAGAAGACTGCCAGAGACATGCAGCAGCTCAAAGAATCTCCCAAGGACATAAACATTTGAGTGTGCCTGTGAGGAGCCTGCATATGCCACAGAGGGTTCTTCCATCATTTTCCAAGGCTGTCTTTTTTGCAGAGGGATGCCATTGCAAGATCAGAAACAGTGATCCACCACCCACCAAGCCAAATACAGCACGTTAACAAACTAGGGTAGCCCATCAGGAGCTTGGAGATCCTCCCGCTTGTGTTGCCCCTCTGGACTCGCCAAACAAGGTAGTTGTCAAGCCCTGGGCAGTCCACCCACACTGGAATGCTGGTGGGTTAGATTCAGCTCTGGGAGTTTCCAAGATGGGTGGGCCATTAAAGAGGTGTCACAAGCTCTTCAAAATGTCACACCTCGTTTAAAAAAGTTTCAGAAGAGTTCAGATAGGGGAAAGAACAGGGAGGATTTGAGTCTCTCACTGCAGCTGCACCACAAGCAGAGTCCAGCAGGTGCAACTGACATAGGAACAATCTGACCCCACAATCTGCTATCACAACAGACCAGTCTTCCACAACCCGGAGCCCACCTGATGTTTTGTACTATATCTCCCATCACCCCGACCCATGGCTGTGCTGGCTGGCGCTGATATGAGTTGTAGCTCAAGGTATTTCAGGATGGGAGTTGAGGAAGGTTGCAACAGATATTTTCTATAGTGGGAAAATATGAAAGTCCCACAGCAAAAATTCTACTGTGCCGAAAGACATGCAGATTTTCCTCAGTTATACTACAGAAATATATGCATAATGTAAATAAATACATGAGGATATAAATAATGTCTCAAGTGGTCAGGACACAGACTTCAAAGCTGGTGTGGACATTCATGAGAAATAGGTCTTGACATTCACTGCTTGCATAAATATACCTGAGACAAAGATATTCATTGGGAACCATCACCAAAACATCCCTGAGAGGAGATACCAGCACCTTTCAGATTTTGCAGTTTCTGGTACATTGTCAGAATCTGGTATCTGGTACTTCATAAAAGCAAATATGAAGATGCATGTAATATCAGCTGAAGTCCTTTGACTGGTGTAAGTGTCATAGGAAGCCTATTCTAACATTTAGGAAAATACTGTATAAATTCTATGAAAAGTTACTATTTACTCGACAGTCTACAGTGCAGGCAGCATGCCTGCGCCATTGCGTTGCTTCCGCTCCTACATCAATGTCCAGTACTCCTCCCATATCCCGTTATACTAGCTTTCCCCAACCTGCTCCCCTCCAGATTTATTTAGCTTCTCAGTCCCACCCAATGTCCCCCAGTTGTGTTGGACTGCAGCTCTCATCAGCCAAAGCCAGCGGAGTCCGTGGTGTGAGGTGACAGCCATGGCAGTCCAGTAGCTTCTGGAGTACCGCACATTTCCCCCTCCTTGGCATACAAGGGCCCATCCCTGTCAGAAAAGGCACAAGAGAAAAAGAAGAGCAAGAGAGACGTACACGTAGCCAATGACATCGGCATCCGGCTGCTGGTAAAAGGCTTTGTCAGCAATCCTATGGTGTGGCCCACGGACAGAAGAATATGCAGAGCAGAGGGGCAGCGCAGAGTTAAAAAGAGAGAGGGAGGTTAGTACCCCTGAAGGAGGAAGCAACAGACTTAGGCATGGCAGGGCAGCATAGGAGCGTCTGTAAGTGTGTTAGAGGTTCAGTAGACAAATGCTTAAGAGAGAGAAGAGAAGAAAGCCCCCTTGCAAAGACAAAATGTTCTGCTGCTGCCCCAGAGCAGAGACAGCTGCTTCTAAGAACTGCAGCATTAGCTCTCCCAAAGATCAGCACAGTTGACAATCGGTTGACACCCATCCAGGATGCAACTACAGCTCCTTCCAGATAAAGGCTTGGTTGTTCCATCACCCTGCCCCACTCCCAGAATGTAACGACCACAATGCCCTGCCACCCTACTTGAAACCCTCCTGTGTTTTCCCACTGCCTCCCCTGTCCTTTTCCTTCCACAAAAAAAGCGGTTCCAGAAAAGACGGAATGTCCACACAGTGTCTTCACTGGTAACCCCAGGACAATTGATGCTACCAGTCGGAAAGCACTGTGCAGCTATTCTGTCTTTTCCCTCTTTAATGGTATTTCTGTGGAAAGAAAACAAGGACAAAAGCATGCTGGGAAAACACAAGAGGGCCAGCCAGCAGAAGAGCCTGCCTGGGCCACAGCCACCCATCTGAACTTCTGTGAATGAGGCAAGGTGAGAACATGATAAAGCCACGTCTGGAAGTACCCCAAGGAGCTCGCCATCAAGAAACACAGTACAGAGTCAGAGTCTGAAGGAGTGAACACAATATAAAACGACTGCCTACACGTGGAAGGTTTAAAATGAAGAGGGACGAGTCATGCTGCCTGTCAGGCCTGGTCACCAGAATCCATTATTTGGTGCTGCTTAATTTGGTTAATCCATGGGGTCACGATGGGTCGGACACGACTTTGCGACTAACAACAACAACAATTTGGTTAAGCGTTATACTGACAATAATGACGTGAGGAATGGCCTGGTGGCAGAGACCGCGTTTGGGATGATTTACCTACAGGTGTCACTGCATGGTCCCTTTGTGGGACACGCAGCGCTGAAGCTAAGAGAACCCATACAGGGTTTCATCATGCTATATTAAGCATGAGCAGAACGCAGATCCCCAGACATCTGGGACTTCCGTTCTCCCAGCATTCCAGACTGCTGGACAAGGTAGCAGGGATTCTGGGAACTGAAATTCAAAGCATCTGGAGATTTACTGTTTGTCTACCCCTGTCTTTGTGACAGCCTTAAGGGGCAACACAATTCCAGAAGCCTGGAATATTCTGGCAACCGTGGTGCTGTCTGCAAGCTATTGCTGCTGTTGCCAAGAGCTAAAAATGGGAAGGTGGATTTCCCCCTCCTGGCTGTACCTGTTGTTGGCCCGGTTCCTCTCCATCTGTTCATTCTGCCGCAAGTTCCACTCTTCCAAATCTTTCTTGGCCTTTTCACGCCATTCCTGCTCTAACACCTTGGAAGCAGCATCTAAAACAAGGTAGACATGTAATTGGCAGGTGGAAAGATACAAATGGACATTCAAGCCGGGGAATGGGGGTACCATACAAAGCTGGCTTTTATGACATAGGTTTTGGGGCCTGTTCCAAAATGGTGGTTGAAGAACCAGTGCTCAGCAAGGGAGAGGTGCCCTGAATAGGCCTGCTCATGAGGAGTTATGTAAATCACATGCACAGCTCACAAGGAACAAACAAATTTCCTTGCATTGGAATGGAGCTGAAGCAGGAAGTTGTGGGTGGCAATGACAACAAGCCAGACATTCTTTACTTGCATTAGCCAAATGCCTTTGTATATGTCACACCTGTATGGAGTACACATGAGCAGGGGGCAGTGCTGGCTAAGTGGAAACATGACAGGAGCACAAACACACAGGTGGCTAGTGAGGGGGGAAATTGCCATTCATCCAGCAAGCCTGTCTCATGGTCATGCAGGAGGTTCACTGGTGCTCTCTATTCAGCCAAAGCCCTGCACAACAGAGTACTTGAGGTGAAATTTGCAGTCAGTGTTTTGTCTATTACTCCTACTGACTATTCATCTTACCCCTCCTCCCACTCTATATTTGGTGCTTTGAGGCTCCTTTACTTTATTTTTATCTCGTCTGGGGACATCTTTCTCAGCATGAACCCAAACTCTGCCCCCATCACTGGCTCACACTCTTCTCATGTGTTTCTTTTCCCATCCCTTCAGAAAAACTGCACTTACCTTCACTTTAACCTTTTCCTTGTAGCCTTTTTCCTGGCTCATTTCCTGGCCCTAACCCTAACATCACAATCTCCTACCCCTCAAAAATTCCAGTATAACTGCAACAAAGACATGCACACTCACCCTCTTCCCAATGTTCATTTATACCATTTTGGTACACACACACACACACACACACACACACACACACACTTGTGATTCATCCTACCCAACTCTTGCAGTCTCTTTTTCTGTTCCTCTCGCCACTTGCGAATGCTCTCGGGTTCTTGTGTCAACCGGTCAGCTCTGGCAATGGCTGCGTAGGCATCTGTGGGTCCATTAGATTCCTTCAGACAAAGGAAAGAGTGTGTGTATATGAAAGCCAGGCTCTTCTCCCATACCCGCCCAGCAATATACTTATGCGGAAGGAGAAGTCACACATAAATGCAAGTCTCTAATCCTTACCATGCTAAAGAGCCTTTCACAGAATTATGTGCCAGCTGTAAACCTAGTTGTCCCATAGGCAGAAGCCATCTTCTCCCACGGCCCATGAAATGAGCAAGTGGGAGGAGATGGACTGAATGCTCTCATTTAGAACCGTAACCACAGCTGCCTCCAAGCTTATAAGAATGGGGACTTCTGAAAGCACAGTGTGTAGGCTGCCTAACAGAAGCTTCCTCAACCATGTGCCAGCCCAGCCTTATACAACTTGCCTTGCTGTTCCCAGCCAACATGATTTTCATGTCTATGCCCAGGTGAGCTCCCGCTGTTCTAGGAATAATGGCAACTTGCTGTGTCTCTGTGATGTCACCTCTTTGATGTCACAGTCGAGTCTTCAAAGGAGAATGTCTTTTTTGAGGAGATCTTAACTCTGAAAAGAACTAGAACTTTGGCTCAGTTGGTACTAAAACCTCTTTGACATCATGAAATGCTGTTGCCATGGCATGAGCCAATTTTCACTGCCTCCAGCTGAAATCATGAGGGAAGTGCTAGATGTGGTCATCTTTATTGAAGGCCAGTAATTATTATAATTAAAGGAACCAGATGCAGAATCTGAGAAGACCCACAGTCTAGGTCCTATTTACACATCATCATTTGCTTGGTCACAGTGATCTCATGGAGCGTTCTGTTGGGGCTCATTTTTCCAGTCAACAGAAAAAGCCTTCTCATGCCCATTTTTCATCCCACTCAGACAAATAGCTTACTAGTACTCTTCTGAATGTATCACTGAAACTTCCAAAAATTTTAGCTTCCATGGTTAAAAGAAGAGTTCATTTCTAACACCAGGTCCCGACAGTCCAATCATGTGGTAAAACTGTTTTCAACATTCCACAAAAACATGCAAGCTTTTGAGCACTCCAGAATTGCCCCAAAACCTTGCCTGAAGTCTTCCCAGTATGGCACACAGCAAGATTTATACCTGCTCCCTTAGCAAGCCCTCTGTTACTACAAGGATGCAATGAAAGCATCATGCATCATGGGATAGATTCAGGCACACCCAGATCCTGCAAGAAAGTGAGGTAAACAAGAATCCTCTCAGACAAAAATGCAGCACCTGGCTAGCTGCTAGTGACACTGAAGTGACTTGTTAAGGCAAGACAGGGGCGAACAAAGCAGTCGCACATGCACACAGCCATCGGAGTGCAGAAAGGGGCAACTAAAACGATCAAGGCGCAACTCACCTGGGCAAAAAGAGTACAACATTTGGGACTATTTATTTTAGAAAAAATGTAAATGAGGAGAGTCATGATGGGGAGAAAGTAGATAGGGAGACCCTTTTTTCTTCATAATACTAGAACCCAGGGCCACTGATTGATCACTGCGACTTTCAGGAGAGATAAAGGGAAGACCTTCTGAACCAGCTTGACTCTTCTTGTGCTCTTATGGGAGCTTCCAGATGAGCCTGCTATAGTGCTCATTCACAGAATCTTATGCAGGGTCCAAACATCACCATCTTCCAGCCATAACCCTCCTGTATGTTCCCTATGCTGCATCCATCTTTTCCCTTTCCTCAGATAATCCATGGGAGGAAAGATGGCATTACTACAGCCCTCCACCTGCAAGTGCCCTTCATCTGACCACAGACACCCTACAGGTTCTGAGCTTGAACTCTGGGTAACACAAATTTGGCCTTTCCTGGGGGTACCACTTCCTTCTCTCACAGCGACAAGCTGCTCCGGGAGCCTCCACCACTTTCCTCCTTCCAGTTCTAGGTTCTTTAAAAGGAATGGCTCCAGCCCTACAACTGTCATCTAGTACAGGATGTGGAAATGGACACAGCCTCATCCCTCCAGTCTTAAGAACCTGGTCCTCTCAACCTCGAGGGATGTTCCTGGGCTACTTTGACCACAGACACCATCACACCATGATACGTGAGCCTGAAGACATAATTCAGATGTCAGCACTGTTTCTTCAGTGTAATCCCATGCCCTTTTAGGTGCAAGCAAACACCACTGCATTCCCACAAGTAGGTGAAAAACTAACTCTGTGTTCGTGTTTGTGCATGCTATTAATTATTATTAATTTTGTTGTATTATTATTGTTCTACATTTGGGTCAATTCTCTGGCTAAACATTTATGGCCCTTGAATGGTTACCCAAATACAAGTCTGAAGTTGAATTGGCACGGAAGGAGCCTGCTTTTCTGCAGTAAGCATCAGTCTTCAGGGTTGATGTGTGTTTAAGGGAGCTTCCAAACAGAGGGTTCCAAAGGACATTGTGCAACAATTGCATTTTTTTTCTTCCTTAGTGTGTTTCTTTTATTTTTAAAGAAAACAGGCAGAAATGGTTTTGGGAAAATGAGTGGAAGACACTGTTGTCTGGATCTCCATGAATGAGGCAGCATGATCGCATAATAAAAACTTTGTCTGGAAGCACCCCAATTCAGTAAGAGATATTGTGTGTTGTGTGTGTGTGTGTGTGTGGGGAGAGGGAGAGGGAGAGGGAGAGGGAGAGGAGGCAGCTGCAATTAAGTGGAAAACTTTGCTTCCACAAATACTGCTGCTTGTAGCCTTCAACAGGGTTGCTGGATTATACTCCACCCTCAGCCCAGTCCACTTATCCAATTAAGTCCACCCATTTCCAATGGGATTATGTTGTAAACCCAACTGATACTATGATGAGAAGCAAGTGAAATGCTCCTTAGCAGCCACTGCTTCTCCATCCATGTGGACAGATAGGGGTGTCTGAATGTCACAGTACGGAGTGGCATCTAAAGGGGAGAGCATGTAAATTGCTCACAAACAACACTATGATAACTGTGGGCTGGGATCAGCAGAAACGAGAGGTTAAAGGTACTGCATGGAGGAACTGGAACGGATAGCTTGCTCACAAAGCACAACTCGGCCAACACAATAGATGTGCATTGTGGTGTAAAAAAAAGGCTTGAAACTGTTATTCAGCAGCCCTATCTCAATAAGCATGTGATTTGGCACAATCATAAATGAGAGAGAGAGAGAGAGAGAGAGAGAGAGAGAGAGAGAGAGAGAGAGGGGCAGACAGACAGACAGACAGACAGACAGACAGACAGACAGTGTGTGCACATGTGCACCAGATAACAATGGTATTTCCAAGATGGCAAACATGCACAAAGATCTGGATTAATCCTGGATGAACACTGAGAGAAACATCACAAAGCCATGGGCCCATGGTTACCAAGTCAGTGCTCTTTCACACATTAAGCACAACAAATCAAATCTCTCCAGTCCACAGGGAGCTGCTGCCCATCTTGGCTCTCTGACAAGCATCTCTCTTTCCAAGCACCTAGTTGTCACATGCACCTTTACATTTGTAACTGTACAATTTTTTTTTAAATCTGTGCTGCATCTCCAGGAAATCGTAGTGGGTGATGACACCCCTTGCTTATATCAGCAAAGCATCTAGCTCCAGCTGCAAAGAAGTCTAACAGCCACAGGTGAGGGCCCTCCATGATGAACAGAGTAAGGCTGCAACTGTATACATGCTTACCCATGAACTCAGTGGGGCTCACTTCTGAGGGGACGTGTATAGGATTGCACTGCTAAGCACTCCCCCACACTTCCCCTAACAAAAGCAAGTAGAAGGAAAGGCTAGCACTGTCTCTGCTGGGCACTTCTCCTGCCAGAAACATCCCGGGCTGCACCTGCCACACTCCCACAGCTCTTCTAACTCAGGCAGTCCCTCTTTGCCATTTGACTCAGCTGCAACAAATGGCAACACCGATCCCCTGAGCCGGCTGGTTTGGCTGCGCAGGGTCAGGGAGCCGCACGACGTCTGGGCAAAGGCTGACCCTATCTGGGTGCTGCACAAGACATGGAAAGCGACCGCCTTGTGGCTGCACCCAGAACTTAAAATATATGCAAGAAATTCAGACACTATGATCCTAAAATCTAGACAGAACTAGTGATGAAGAATGCAAAGCAGGTGCATATGTTGATACTTTTGTTGCAATGTTGTTGTTATCTTGCATCTGTTAAATACAATACTACTTTAAAAAAAGCAAAATAGCAGCACAGGACGGGACAAGTCAAGCAACTCTGGCTGATGCATACGATGATTTTGAGGGCTGTCCCCAGGAAGAGGTAGCAGTCAGGAATGGGCAAGCTGTGGCCTTCCAAATGCTGCTGGACTGCTACTCCCATCATTCTCACCACAGGCCATGATGGCTGGGGCTGATGGTAGTTGCAGTCCACCAGCATCTGGGAAGCCACCAACCCTCATCCCTGAAGCTCAAGAACAGCCCCTCTAATCTTCTGAAGCTGCAGGATATATTTTGCAATGTTTTAACACACTAGAGGTTCAAATAGAAGCCCTTTTCATTGCTGCTGTGTTCATATGGGGTCTTTCTGCCCAAAATTAAAAAAATACCAGCCTCAATTTCTTATTCCTCTCAGCTATCTCGTTCTCCCCACACCTCCAAACCATTCCTTATTTCATCAACTACCCAGTCCCACAGCCCATTAATTCCCTCTTTGCCAGCATAATAACCTTCCCAGAAAGTGACCATACCCTGCAATAGCACCGTCTGCCTGTGAAGAAGCTCATAAACAGCTGCCATGAGAAGTGGGGGACTCCCAGCCCGGGGCCAAAGCCATCCATCCCCTCTTCCTCCTGCAACCACCAGCCATTTTTTGGTTTACTGCAGTTTCTCTTCATTTTAAAACATTGACATTCCTCTCCTGGCAGAAGAGTTTGCTTTTTGGAGATGTGGATCCCACCACATTGCTTCTGGGACCTTTGCCTTCATCTCCACAACCCCTGGGAAGGCAAGCCCTGAGAGCTTTTCCAAAACGGAATCCAGCCCTCAGGCTGAAAGAGATTTCCCACCCCTGGTCAGGGGAAAGCTACTGTAAACAGAAAAAGGGATGGCCATTTTTCTTATCCATCCACCCATCTTCCTCCCTTCTTTAAAGATACACCAAAGGAGCAGATGAGACCATCTCTTCAATGTATTTTCTCTGGAAGTCTCTCTGGGACCAGCTACTCTTGCTTATCTGCTACATGTGCTATTTACTGTGGCCCCACAGACCAAGGATTGCCCCCTTTCCTAACCCCATAAGGAGCACAATGTCTCACCTGAAACAGATCTCCATTCACAGTGGCCCCTGTGCTCTCCAAATCAGCTGCAGAAGAGAGAGAACAGGAATCTGTTAGTCAGCCCTAAGGGGCAGCAGCACAAGGCTGAACCGGAAGTGTGGTTCTGCTTTGATTAGATGGGGAATAGGTTCAAGCACCAGCTTTCTGCCTTGTGGTTTGTCTGGGCTGCAAATGACACAGGTTAAACCACAAAGCACCTGCCTGACGGAAAAAACAACATGTGGGAACTGTAAGGAAAGATACAGAGGAACCTGCAGGGTAGAGTCAAAGATCTGGAACGACAGGGACCAAGCTGCAGGAAACTGGAATCCCGATAACCCAGTTTACCCCAAAACTAAGTCCTGACAACCAAGCCAATTGCCTTCCCCAGCCTGGTGCCTTCCAGATATGGATGGCAACTCCCACAATTCCAGGCCAGGACAGCTGTTGGCCATGCTGGCTAGGAATGATGGGAGTTGTAGTCCAACAGATTTGGAGGGCACCAAGTTAAGGAAGGCTGCTGTAGGTTGTGCTGATAGTCTTTAGGCCAACCCCTTCTCAGTACAAACCAGTATATCTGTGACTCATTCTGCTTATCAAAGGCCTAGATAAGGACTAGGAGCCCATGGCAGGAGACACTGTCAAGATTAATGTCGCATGGAATTGACTGCAAGCCAAAAGCACCTGTTCCAGACTCCTGCAAAAGGTCCAGTGCATGTTCAATCTGAACTAAATCCCCACTGAGTCAAAATGGACTTCCTTTCTAATTGTGTTAGACCTGTTGGAAGTTACACTGGGCCTTATTTCTAAATAGACACGGCAAGGCCTGAATGAAAAACTTTGTGGGGACTTTTGCAGGCAAGAGTCAGCATTAGAGGCATGAAGTGGAATGTTAAAATAGTGGGAATACTTCTATGCACAGGTGCTTGGAATTAAAATAGAATTACAAATGAGATGTGCAGTCCGATTCTATTGATGTTCACACATAAATCAAACCCTCTGAATTCCTTGGGTTTTACTCACAGATGTGAGTACACACATGATTTCAGAAATTTTTGCTCATTTTGTTTCTTATGTATTTATTTTATTTACTTGTTTAATTTCTGTATTGCCCAATAGCCAAAGCTCTCTGGGTGAGTAAGCACAATTCCTGAACAAGACCACAATACAGTTACATAAACATTTCCGTAACACAGATTTTAAAATGGCTTATACATTTTAAGCAACTTTGCCTCTAAAACATTATTTAATATAGAATGGACCTGTTAAAAACCCCAGAGATCAGTACACCCATTAGTTAACTTCAGATATCTTTAAATATCCCAGCACAGAGGATTCTCTTAACCGGGCACCAAGTAATGACAGAGCTGGCACCGGGTGGGCCTCAGTGGAGAGACCATTCATATATCTCAAGGTTAGAGACAAAAGGAATGCATCCCGCCCAACCACTGCCACTGACTGCATGATAGTTCCACTTTCGTGCCCAATTTGTACCCTTCCTTTTCTTGCAAAATCATTCCCCTGTTCAGTTTGTGAAAATTACCTGCAGATGGGCCCTGACAACAGAGAATGGCATGCATGACAATGCAGAACATCCAGGCAATTCTCCCATCAGAGTGAAGAGAAAGCTTTAAAGCACCAGAATTCTGTCCTGCTGTGAACTTTGCAAGCCTAAAATGTGTTAATGACTGATGACACAAGCAGCCTTGGTTCTATTGACAAGTTTTTATATATTAACTTGTTAATTCCTTGTATCTGCTTTCAGTTTCATTGTAGAAATGAGATCCCATCTCTCACAAAGAACTTTTCCTTTTCTGCTATAAAGCCTCTAGGCGGGATTGCACTTACTATAGCAGCATAATACAATTACAAAAGTAGGAAAATATGTTTTCTGTTATTTTCACAAATAATAACCTGCAGAAATACTCTTTAAAAACAGAAATGAAACTGGATGGTTGTGATATTGTCTAAATAACTTGTCAACAACTATGGTTAAGTAATGAGAAGTGCACAAGAAATGCCTCATGCAGAAAAGCTCAGGTACCTGTTATTATAAAAAGAGGATTCCTTACTTTATGTAAGCTGGTGTTTGCTGTTACATTGCATTATCTCACCCTTCTTTTTCTTGCAAGGAACTCAAAGTAGCTTACAAGTTTCTCCTCCTCCCCCTGTTATCCTAACAACAACCCTGTGAGGTACGTTAGGCTGAGAGTCTGTGACAGGCCCAGAGTCACCCAGTGAGCTCCATGGCTGAATGGAGACCAGCACTGGCTCTCCTGGGACCCAGTCCAGCACTCATAACCACTACACCACACTGGCTCCCAACTAGGTCGGCAGCTTGTGAAATATCTTAGCTGCCCCCTTATTTCAGGAGCAGCCCTTAGGGCAGCTGTTCCCAGTCAGGTGTCCTCCAGATGTGTTAAACTAAAATTCTCATAATTCCTGACCATTGCCCATACTGGATGAAAGTGATGAGAGCTGCAAAGCAACACATCCAGAGGGTATCAGACTGGTGACAGCTGTCCTAGACACTGTCATCTTTAAACATAAAAATACGTTGGCCAGCTGAGCCATGTTCTGCCCTGACCTGGCTCACCGGGAAATCTGCCCCCTTCTACCCATGAAAATCTTGAAGTATCTTCTGCTAAAACTGAACTAAAATGGCCAAGAGCAGCCAATCAAAAGGAAGTTTAGGATCGAATGCCAACCACAAAAGAATTATTTGTAAAGAGGCAAGAAACTCCTTATCAACGGTTGAAATGGGCTCTAAGGCTCAGAATTCACACTTTGCAAGGCCATAGGGGAATACAGTGTCTTCAGCCAACATAGCCTTTGAAAAGTGTAACCATAGGTAAAGAGTATGTAACTTTCTTGCCTGAGAACAAGATAGTTTCAGGGCTCCTATCTAGGCAGAGCCAAGAACAGACTTGTCTTTTACTTGTTCAGCCCCTGAGCTTTCAACAACAGCATGACACGAAGAAATTAAAAGGAAAAGCTTATCTTGGCCAGGAGACAAACTGGTGAAAAAAACTTTGTTGCTAAATTTCCATGAGCTGGGATGATGGTAAAAACACAGGAGCAACCAGAACGAAGGCTCATCAGAAAGGTGACGGGGCATCCTTGTGCTCTCTCCCACAGGGCACAGCCTTTTCTTGCCTGGTGCTCTTTCCCTTCCCTGACATCACCCTCCCTGCCCCGCAATACCTGCCTACACCCAAGATGACTAGGTCTGGACTGGCAACATTTGTCAGGCCTCCTCCCACAGCCAACCCAGAGCTCCAGTAAGTCCGTCACACCCAGATGCAATCACGCAGAATGGCCCCTTCCTTCCACAGCCTCTCTTCCCCGGTCGAGCCCTTGGACCTAGCAGCTGCCTGCTTGACCCCAGTCACGGAAGGCATTGGCCGGGTAAACAGGAACCCCCAATGGACAATGCTGAGGCAGTCTTGCCCTACGCTGACTTGTCCCCAGTTGGCCAAAAGGTTGCCGTCCATGGAGCTTCCTTTCCTGAGGCTGCTCTGAAGGGCAGACACTGCCTGTTTCTTATGGTGCTTCCAAGTCCAAAACACAGCCAGTCTCTGATGCAAGACTACACCCATGGCACAATACCAAAGACACCCTCTGGGATGGTGGGAGGCTGGTTACATGGCATGCTCCGCTGTGCAGAGCCTGAGGTTGGGAGGCCTGGGTTCAAGTCCCTCGTCTGCCACAGAAGGTGGCCTTGGAAAAATCCCCCTCCTTTCCCCACAACCTATAAAATGGGAGCAGTTGCCCGCCAAACGGTCTGGCAAGCTGTATCCCTCACTATTTAACTTATAACCTGAGGCAGCAGCAAACCTGTCAAAGCTAGCAGAGATGCTAAGCATTCAGGAAGGGGCTCCTGCTTGGCAGCGCAAGGCCTGTAAAGGGCTGGATTCCAAGTCAATGCTTTGGTCCTCCTCTGGCAGGGCAGCCCAGAAAGGCGCATTCAGCTCCCTTCACGGGCAGGGCCGAAATGGCCCGAGCAGACTCCGGATCAAGGCCGGCGACGAACTGCGGCGTGACGAGCAGCCCCCTGGCTCGTTCGCTGCATCCCCGGGCCCAGCCATCTCCCCGCAGCCCCAGCAGAGGCTTCACATGACAACCCCCATCACTCCCCCAGGCCGGCCGCGGAGGATGGGACTTGCAGGCTAGGGCACACCGCCCGCAGGCCCCCGTGGGCGCTGCGGAGCCTTCCTTCGCCCTCCGCACTCACCCTGCAGCTCGCCCCCCGCCTCGTGGCTGCCCGCCGCGGTCCCGTCGGCCGTGCTGAAGCCCTCGTCGTTCTCGATGCCCGCAATCTCGCTCTCCTGCTGGGCCAGGAAGGCAGCGGCCGGGTCCTCCTCTGCGGCCTCGGCGGCGCCGCTCTCCGAGGAGGAGAAGAACCCGAAATCATCAGCCATGTTGGTTGCTTCCCGCACCACTCTCCTCCTCCTCCCCGCTCAGGGACGGGCACGGCGAGCGCACGACGGACGGACGGACGGCCGGCCGGGCTGCCAAGAGCGCGAGCGGGGCAATCCGCGACGAGGAACCCCGGCTCAGCTGTCACTGCGGCGGCTGCAGGAGGAGCCTGGCAATATTATAGGGGCGCTGGGAGGTGACCTCACCAACGAGGCTGCCGACGCGCCGTGGAGCCGCGAGGGGGAAGCACCGCGAGTTTCGCTGGGACGAGCCCTTCCTGAGAGCCGATCGGCCCCGCTCGCTGGAGGGTCGTTTGTCCTCCATCGCCGCCACCGGAGGTGGACTCGGGGCGTGTTTTCATCCGGACTGTGCATTCTGCGGTATCCTTGATGGCGCCATTCGAGCAAAGAAATGAGTATTGGGTGAAGAATAAAAATGGGATGTCTTATAACATCCAGCGTGCATTTATTTGTTGGTTGTTTTAAGCGTATGTGAAAGACTGAGAGTTTTTGTTAGAGGACGGGCTTGACTGTGAGCAAATGCACTCGAGGGAGAAACCCTATGCATGATTCGAAAGAAAAGAGTTCTGCAACTCCCAGCATGCCCTAACACGCGTGCTTTCTATTGGTCACAAAGTTTCACTTTCTTGGGGTGAAATTTGGATCTCCCCTTTGCAATATCTTGGATTTTACTTAATGCAGTCTTGGACATTTAGTCCTGTGTTTAATTTCAAACGGTCTCTGTCCCAAAAAGCGTTCAATCTATATCTTTGTGTAAGCATGCAAGAGAAACCAGGAAACAAAATTATAAAAATGCAACACTCTCTCTGCTTACTGTTTGCTTAAGGCAGGGTAGATGAGAGATTAGCGAACTGTACCAGGGTTTTATATAGCTGTGTGTTGTGCATTCTGTACTGGACTCTCCTCTAGTTCATGAAAGCTTATGCCATCATAAATTTATTGGTCTTTAACAGTGTCAGTTTCCATGAACTACTTGGTCACTGTGTCTTAATGCCTGCTTCTTGCTGGGTTTCTTATGAAAAAAGCTCGTGTACTCTAGAAGAATCTGGGTTCAATCCAGCAAGCCATAATCTTAAAGTAAAATATATACTCAGAAGCACTGAACACAAATTAGCTACACCTGTTAAGGCATCCTGGCTATGCACTCCTGATTTGTAAAAGCACAGCGCAAGCTTATACATGACTATTCAAAGGGATATCCATTGGGTTCAACGCCGCTTAGTCTCAGGTATGTGAGCATAGGATTGCAGCCTTAAAATGGGGGATTCAAATGTGTGTTTTGAAAAACATCTGGCACTTGTTTCCTTAATCATACACATTTTTGTGATATGTTAGACAGCTTCTGTGTCATCAAAATTCTTGTGCATAAAGCTTGTTCTTCCAACATCCTTCAATCTGTGTTTGAATGAATTTTTAGCATACAATTGGAAATGTTTCTGAGCAGCTGCAAGCATCTCTCTTTGTCCCTTCCTGCTTGCCATTAATGAGTAACTGCTGTACAGATCACCCGATCAGCTTCAAGCCTTCTGTGCCCCAGTGCCAGTTAGATAGTCAGAATGATCCTGAGTGCCTGCCGAGCCCTTGAAGTGTTTGGAGCCATGAGGAGTGCCACCTCCATTTGTCTCCTCAGGTGCGCTCTTCAGCCAGAGTCTTGCTTTTTAAAGAACACTTCAAAAAAAGGTGAGAAAGAGGAGTGGTAAAGGAACAGGGCAGGTGCCATGATTGCCACATCCTTTTCCACTGCCTTAGTGCTTTTAAAGAGATGCAGCAGAGCTTCCAAGTCGTGATCTGGAAACTCTGTTTCTAGTAGGCAGTGGTCAGAATATATCAGATGGTGTATGCACCATCTCTCACCCCTTTGTGCATCCGTAACGCTGCAGTTCGAGTGTCACACAAAGTTGCACTGCAGCAAAGCAAAATGTCAGGCTCTCCCTTGAGGCAGCAAGATATTTCACACATCTGCACAGATGTCAATGAAACAAGTCACCAAGGTATACCTTCAAAAACCCACATCACTCACTACCTGATTCCAGTTCAAGGAATTTTTGTGCTACTGTAGTAGCTGTATCTAACACATCGTGAGCATGCTGGTCCCTACCAGTCCCTGAAAGGTCACCCACTGTGTTTCCAAGCTGCTCGTACACTGAGGTCATCGCTGAATGTTCTTGCCCAGGTGTTGCCACCAACTAAGGTGCGGTGTCTCCTTCATGGATCACTGCCTTGTCGTGGCGAAGGGGCTGGTGTAGCTCAATGAAGCTGTGAGCTATGCCGTGCAGGGCCACCCGGGATGGACAGGTCATAGCAGAGAGCTCTGACAAAATGTGATCCACTGGAGAAGGAAATGGCAACCCACTCCAGTATCTTTGCCATGAAAACCCCATGGACAGTACCAAAAGGCAAAAAGATATGACGCTGGAAGATGAGCCCCTCAGGGTGGAAGGTGTCCAATATGCTACTGGGGAAGAGCAGAGGGCTAGTACTAGTAGTGCCAGAAAGAATGAAGTGACTGGGTCAAAGCCGAAAGGACACTCAGTTGCAGATGTATCTGGTGGTGAAAGGAAAGTCTGATACTACAAAGATCTATACTCCATAGGAACTTGGAATGTAAGATCCATTAATCAAGGCAAGCTGGATGTGGTCAAACAAGAGATAACAAGACTGAACATCGACATCTTAGGAATTGGTGAACTAAAATGGACAGGAATGGGTGAATTTAATTCAGATGACCATCAGGTATACTACTGCGGGCAAGAATCCCTCAGAAGAAATGGAGTAGTCTTCATAGTCATCTACTCTTCATGAAAGAGTAGGAAAGCAGTACTGGGATACAATCTCCAAAATGACAGAATGATCTCAGTTCGAATCCAAGGCAAACCATTCAACATTGTCTATGCCCCAACCACTTGGTGCTGAAGAGGCTGAAGTTGACCAGTTCTATGAAGGTCTACAACACCTTCTAGAATTAACACCAAATATGATGTCCATATCATCATGGGAGATTGGAATACTAAAGTAGGAAGCCAAAAGGTAACCAGAATAACAGGCAAGTTTGGCCTTGGAGTACAAAATGAAGCAGGGCACAGGCTGGTAGAATTTTGTCAAGAGAATACAATGGTCCTAGCAAACACTCTTCCAACTACCCAAGAGAAGACTCTACACATGGACATCACCAGACGGTTAACACAGAAATCAGATTGACTATGTGCTCTGCAGCCAAAGATGGAGAAGCTCTATACAGTCAGTAAAAACAAGACCAGGAGCTAAAAACTCAGATCATGAGCTTCTTGTTGCAAAATTTAAACTTAAATTGAAGAAAGTAGGGAAAAGCACTAGGCCACTCAGGTATGACCTAAATCATATTCCTGATGAATATACAGTAGAGGTGACCAATAGATTTAAGGATTAGAGCTGACAGACAGAGTGCCTGAAGAACTATGGATGGAGGTTCGCAACATTGTACAAGAGGTAGCAACTAAAACCATCCCAAAGAAATGCAAGAAAGCAAAATGGCTGTCTGAGGAAGCTTTACAAATAGCTGAGGAAAGAAGGGAAGCGAAAGGCAAGGGAAAAAGAGAAAGATACACCCAATTGATTACAGAATTCCAGAGAATAGCTAGAAGAGATAAGAATGCCTTCTTAAATGAACAGTGCAAAGAAACAGAAGAAAACAATAGTATAGGGAAGACTAGTGATCTCTTCAAGAAAATTGGAGATATGAAGGGAACATTTCATGCAAAGATGGGCATGGTAAAGGACCAAAATGGCAGGGACCTAACAGAGGCAGAAGAGATTAAGAAGAGGTGGCAAGATTACACAGAAGAACTATACAGGAAAATGCCTAACGTCCCTGATAAGCACGATGGGGTGGTCACTGAGCTCAAGCCAGACATCCTGGAATGTGAAGTCAAATGGTTCTTAGGAAGTCTGAGCAACAACAAAGCTAGTGGAGGTGACAGTATTCCAGCTGAGCTATTCAAAATCTTAAAAGATGATGCAGTAAAAGTGCTACACTCAATATGCCAGCAAACTTGGAAAACTCAACAGTGACCACAGGATTGGAAAAGGTCAGTTTACATTCCAATTCCAAAGAAGGGCAATGCCAAAGAATGTTCAAACTACCGCACC